TATCTAAGTATTGATTGTTTCAATCAATAGCTAAAAACTAAATCATTTAATGTTTGTTAGTTAAGAACTGAATGTGTTGATGAATGAGTTAAATGAGATTACCATATTAACAATACATATATTTGTTGGTTATATCTTTCATGCCATTGATCCACAAGATTTGAAATGAATTTGGATAAGATTAAAAAGATTTTATTTTAGATTTCTCTTTTATTTAAAATTTGTGTGATTTCAAATGATTTTTTGTTCACTAGTGTTAAAGCTAATCATGATTGATTGTAAATGTATATCTATCTAATGTAGCTAATGTATTGATGAAAAATAAGATTCTTTTGAAAAGTTTTAAATTACGTTGTGGTGATTTGCAAAATGTATATAACAAACACAAATTAAATTCACTAGCAATTTTGCTAACTTTATCACGTTTTGATTACAACTTGATGTTAGTTATAGATAATTTACCAAGAAAATTATGTAGAAATATTTCCTAAAATTTTTGATTGAATAATCATGTTTTTTATTATGAATTTTAGAAATTTCAAGACATGATTCAGGAGAAAAATTGTTAGACATATATTCAAGATTACTTATCCAAAATCAATGTATTTCTTGTAGTATCTAGATTTAACTTTATTGAGTAAAGATTGATTTCAACCCTGATTTTCAATGACAAAAATTTAAGATTTCTTAGTAATGCATTTGTGTTTTCATAAATGTAGCATATGTAGAGTTAAACCATGTATGTTTCCATTAACACTCTTCCATTTTTGCGTTTTTTGTTGTTTCATGTAGTCTGAATTTTTATGACATTACATGTTTTTTGATCCACTGCTTGCAAACATGATGGATTATTTCCTCAAAATATTCATCAAACAAAACTAAATTCCTCCAAAGGTTATGAAATGTGGTTCAATGAAACTCAAGAAGATTCATCCATTACTTTGGTATCTAAAATCTTACATTGTAAATGATGACGTTTTGGAAACTGATCAACATATCTTCCATTGATAAATTGTTTTCAATTATTGTTAAATCTTTGTGAGATGAAAAGAAAACATTTTGGAGAATTTGTATAGGGGAAAATAATTTGCTCATCGTTGCATCAAAATTACATTCATTAATAGACCTTGAGTATCATAATTTTATTTTTTATTGTTGGAAGTAACAAATTCTAATCAATAGATAGCACAAGATTTTTGAAAGAGTAAAAGAATTGGACTTTGATTGAGTTTCGAAAATGGAATATAATCGCATGCATAGGATTCTGATACTATTGGATGTTGTTTACAAAAAACCTTGTTGTGAACAGAACATGATTTATGTCATGTAAGAGTAAATGCTTAATGTTAGATGTAGCGGATCAATACTGAATATCAGATAAAACGATTTAATATGCAGTGTCAGTCAGAGAGTTGGAAAGTTTCAACTGATAAGGTTGTTAGTTCGAAATTTAGAAATGAAATACATTTTCTTTTCCCGTTTGTACTGTCCATGCTTTTGTGTCTGAATATGAGACAGGCTTTTGGTCAACTTTTAGTTCCAAATGAAGTTTTGTCCTCTGAATCATAGGACACAAATATTTCATAATACAAGTGTGGAGGAAACATGGTTCACATGTGATGTATTTCGTAAATGGATGAGAATGTATAGACTTAATAACTGGAAAAAAAATCCACATATGGACTGAATCTAGAAAAGCCCACATGCGTTAGATCTTTCAATAGTGATGTCAATGATGTTATAGACAGCTACGCCTCCTCACTGAGTAGAAACTGTATGTAGGGTAGTAGCAGTTATTTCTTCAAAAAATAACTCGAAACCAAAGTTGGCAATCAACTTCAACTTGAATGTAGCAATATAGTACAACAATTTTATTAAAACCATAGATGTAAATTCAGTCATAGGATGACCTTGTTCAGGCTATGGGTATCAACTAAATTTTGTTCGACCCTATGGAGTTGAAATTGATTTAATCTAGCTAACCTGCAAGGGGCTACACATCTACACGATAAAAGCAATATACTTTACGGTTATCTACTTGAAACAGAGAAACAAAAAGAATACAGAAATAGACATAGGGGATTTCAACACTGACACACAAAGCACTGGACGGGAACTAAATAATTCTCATAAAGCCCAGTACCCGATCCAAGGGTTTTGTACCGCGATGTGAACATGTTATATATAAAAAAAAAGCACAAAAGTGCACATCGCGGTAGATCCATCCAGTAAAGATTTTACGGCTATTATCAAAGAATGGTAAAATCTGATAATATATCCCCAATTTAGAGACCCCCCAGGAGGCCTAGTAATAAAGGAATAAGATGGGAAGACCCAATCAAGTACAGGGAAGGGAAAAGACTGGGAAAACCACTAGTAGTCTTCAAATATAGAAAGGGACTAAGAGCGTTACGTGAATGGTATTAAACCCATACTATTTACAGGAGCCTTTTCAGCACCCCAGAAGTGTTGCTCTTGATATCCATAAATTTGCGGGTTTTAAGGGATTCCTTACGGGATAAAAGAATTACGGTCTTTCCTTAAAAGATGCGGCATTCAGCACCTTGGAAGTGTTGCTCCTGGTATCCAAAACTTTACGGGTTTTGCGGGATTCCTTACGGGATAAAAGATTTACGGTCTTTCCTTAAAAGATGCGGCATTACCTCCGAGAGTTATGGGTCAGTTATGAGAACCACTATTGAGACGTGGACTGAACAAAATATGTGGACTTGTCGGCCCCAGAATGTGGAACAAAATATTTGTTCCACTCCATTCTTCACATATTTAAGTAGGGCGGAAATTTGAGGTGGGTGGAATGTGTACAAGAATAAGCATAATTAGGCTATTTGAGAGATTCTTCAAAATTCTCTTGTTCTCTAAGGATGTACGAAAGACTCCTGATGGTTGCCCTCTTATGGGTAGAGTTGTAGCGTTCATCTATCTTTGGAACTATACATGAAAACTCTAACATTCACGGATGAGGTACGAATGATTTTGCGAAATGTATATAGATGTCTAAGTACAAACTCCTTGAGGTGGACGTCTGCTTTTTATTTGTTGTTGAGAACGGGTTTGAAATTTCCAGGCTCTTTCTCATGTGCTATACCAATTCTTAAATATATAGTATAAAACCTGCAACACAATATGCCTATCGTGGATTCTCCATGATCTATTGGTCTGAAACTAATGTCATCCGCCTTTCTCTGCCATAGAGTGAAAGGGCTAACACGCCCAAACTGCCAAACGAGAAAAAGGTTACGAGAGGGTTATGAAAGCAGAAATCGCATAGCACGTCTTAAAGATTTTATGCAAGAAAGAAATCGTGAATTATATGCTGACAAGAAAATAGGGATAATCGAATAGATATTTTGGATTATTATCTATTGACCGAGTCTAAACAATCAAAGGGGAGTTCATGTTCTCTCGGTTGGCGTTTATGAATATCAACGCTAGAAAGTAAAATGTTTTGAGATATGGGAACATCTGGGAAATTCAACCATGGACAGCGACGACATCGACGACATCGACACCAAATGACGACACCAAACATTAGAGTCCACAAAGGTTGGTACGAGGACCACATAAAAAACGAGCCATGGGTGGGACGAGTAAAAGAGCCCGTCGGGAAGCAAAGGGGCGAAGGCCAGCTTTAAAAGACATACTCACTCATAGAAGAACAGGGCTTCGTACAATAAGTTGGAAATATATTTTGGGGGCAAAAGATTAAATTAAAAGGTAAGATAATAAAGGCTTCCTGGCTGCCGTGAGAAAGTGAGAAAAATGTGACGACATGGAAATTGGGGGCAGAGGAAAGGAAATGTCACGAGGACCGGGAAAAGGAAGAGCGGCCTCGAGGAAGTGATGTCACGACTCACGAGCAGAGAGGAGGAAGACGTTAAGGGACGAGGGACGGACGGACGGTCGGGCGATGGGAGGAAGACGAGGAGCAGGAGCAGGAGGAGCAGCAGCAGCAGCTGGAGGAGGAGGAGGAGCCGTAATCGAGTGAAGGGAGTGGATCGAAGGGATCATGGGCCGGAGCGGGAAGATGGCAGCACGAGCAGAAAGGGCTTGAATATTTGCGTATGTCGACATGTCCTGCAACGACATGTCGACAGAGGCTGGGGATGAGTGCATGCACCTGCGCCTCCGCCGTCCGCCCTGCGCGATGCGCGATCGAGTTGGTGGTGAGATTACACATCCTCTCTCTCTCTCTCCCTCTCTCGTCCCGATTGCCGTCGAATCTGTCGTTGCTCCTGCTCCTGCTGTACCCGCTCCGGGCCTCGATTTGTGGACCCGGTCTTCCGCGAGCCCCCCCACCCCTCCTGCTGCAGCAGCCGCAGCAGCAGAGCACGAGCTAGAGCCCTTTTTGTCCTCACCCGCCCTACTGGCAGATGTCTTGCATCTGGGCCAGGCCGGGATCCTGCCACGAGAGTCGATTAACGAGCTCGAAGCAAGAATCCGGGTGCTAATCCGCACTCAAATTAGGGGGGCCCCGGGAGATCGGCGGCAGTAATTTCCCCAGTGCTGCTCGCTCGCATCGCATCGCATCGCTGCTGCCGCCGGCGCAAATTGTCCCGTCCCGGATCTTTAGCGCCTCGGCTTTAGCGTTTTGTGCAATTTAACGGTTTCTCGCTACCCAGCATGCCGGAGCTACGGGTGTCGGTATGGCCGCTAGCGCCAAACCGGAAGATTTGGAGGATGTTCTCGGGCGGAGGAGGAGGAGGAGGAGATAGAGGAGTTGCTTTGCTTTTCTCTGGTGGAAACGAGGCCCGTGGAGACGGCGCTAGAACGCCCGATTGCTCAGAAGGGGCGACAGGAGGTTAGGACGGCAGGGCCCGATTTTCCTACCGAGAGTGCGGACATTAGAGCGGGGGGTAAATTTGCTCCTTCTTGCTGGAGGTTGTGGAGGAGGAGGGCCCGCGAGAGGTTGGAGGTTGGGAGCCGTGGAAGGCGGTGATGGGTTGACGGATCCACATCGGAGTGGTGCACTGGGGCAGGGTAAGCGGTAGTGTTGGTGGCTTCTGCCGTCTTGAAAATCGTTACCTGATAATTTGATTGCTGGCATGATGTAATGAGGAGTGCGGTTTGCTGAGCTTTCGTAGGAAAGAATGATGCTCCGGGTGGGCACTTTGTACCAGATTACAACACTCTGATTGATTACCAGCTCTGTCTGGGCAACACCATCTCTCTCGTACGCTGCGCATATGTCCGGATCCTCCGCACATCGGGCTCACGATGATGACGCCACAATTTGCTCGCCTGGGCCGCAATACTACTAATACTTCTAAGTTGAGAGTGTGGCACCCATCGGTAGCAGCAGGAGCAGCTTCTCCTCCTTTGCAGTTACCTATCCCAGCCTCGCAGCTGTTGCTTACGCCGCTGAAAGCCTCCTCCCGTCTCTGGTCGGGGCCGCGCCTCGCATCATTCTACCCACATTCCGCATCTCTCATCTGTCTCCATCTGTGCGTGAATTCGACCTCCAATTTTTCACTTTCAACTAACTCCTTCACTTGATTGCTCTACTCGTAGAGTGATTCTAATCAGGTGTTTAATCTGAATTGCCTTGCCCAAGCTAGTCCACTGTTCTTGCAATTGTACTACGTTTCATGATTTCCTATCCCCTCTATCTTCTGAGTCCTTTCGTACCTCCATGCATTGTCCAATCTGTATCTGTTGCCTCACAATCTCCGTTGCTCAGCACTTGATTACAGATAGTCATATATATAGCGTAGTGCCTTGGTTTACAACTGTGTAGACTGCTTACTTGTTGTCTCGCTTCCAATTGGACGGAGAATGTTTCTGTGTTCCACAAATATTGCTGTTGCCCGTCTATTGACGTGCTGTGTACTGATTGCATCTAGAAATTCTTCATTCGGTTACTGACGGTCCGCCAACTTTGAAATTCCCTCAGGACACCATTTGGATCATTTCACAGCCACTTCCGAGGGAGGTGTCAGAGCACTTTTTCTACTCCACTTCGAAGAAGCATGACCATGGGTTCTTTGGCAGTGGCGCCAGAGTCCCTGCACTATCCCGATGTTCGAAGGGATGAGTCTATTGTAGACAACTATCATGGAACTCTGGTTGCTGATCCTTATCGTTGGTAAGTCCATTACTGACTTCACATGACTTCTAAAAGCATAATGAACACTCTTGTTTTTTTGCTGGACTATCCAATTGTGCTCTTGATTGCAGCGTCTGTTTTTCCCCTGTCTCCTTTGTTAGGCAATGGTGGCCGACTTTTTTTAGGATATCAATAAAGCATTAGCTACGTAGATTTTGGTACATCTCACTCACGCTTGAAAGGCGTAGCTAAAATCTGGCCTACTCTTGAACAAACTTGGGCAACGGGTACGCTTTGCAGAGTGTCTCAACAAGTAGTTCGGTCGTTGGTTGGGCATCCGTTTTGACAGCACCATCCAAGTTTGAGTAGATAATCTAACTTAATCATTACCGCCGAGGAGCTGATAGAACTGACACTGGCGACCTTTTCAGAAGTAGATTTGTCTCACTTCCTGACGCAAAACCATGCGTCACTCGATGATGTGGCTGAAGTTAGGACAGAAAAGGAGAACATGTCTCCATCTACATCTGTCAGTTTTTAAGAAGGTCACTATTTTCCATGTCTATGTCGGGTATAAACAAGGCACACGCTGTTTATATCTGTTTATATCTAGTTGTCTAATATTCGGGTTCGGCTGCTGTTACGTTCCCCCTTTTTTTTGTTTTTGAAGTGACATGATCAGTCTTGTCAATCTTGTCATTCATCCTACTGGTCTGTGGTACCTTTGATTACGTACCAAATCTTGGATACTTCAAAGTTAATTTCTTGAAGCATCATTTATGATTGCAACGGTGTGTTCCACCACCATTGCCTGACCAAATACAAAGAATTGGCTTTGTTTACGGCCCTCATGTACGCCTGCATGCAACTGTATTCTTGTGGCTATCGTGTTGCTATCGGTCGCTTCCTTCGAGGTACGTGTCCCCATCTCAAGATTTGAGATGGAAGCCAGTTTCTCGTTTCCTGGAAGATGAGTTGGTACAAGACTCAAGTTTATTAGAATGGGTTCTTTTTGGTGGCCAGGTTGGAAGATCCGGAGTCAGCAGAGACCAAGGATTTTGTGGAGATACAGTCGAAGCTGACCGCATCTGTTCTGGACAAGTGCAAAACGAAGGAGAAGCTGAAGGAACGCATTACAGCTCTTTATGATTACGCAAAGTACGATTGTCCTTTGAAACAAGGAAACAAGTACTTTTACATGCACAACACTGGGTTACAACCTCAGAGCGTCTTTTACATGCAGGTTTGTACACTATCCAGTCAAGATATATTCAGGTGCAGTCGTTTAAGGTCGTTCCCTAGGGGCTGTGTTATCGTTATAATATTGAGAATTTGGCCTCGCCGTTTTTTATTTCGTTCTTTTTAAAACGGTTTTCTCCAGAAACTGTTGTTCGTCTACTTGTCGAATAAACCGATTCTGGCCTTATCACTTCACCCATTTCAAAGTTGGGTTAAATTTAAGTTATAGATGTTTATTGCTGTTTCGAAGTCCCACATATGCTATGGTTATTTTTGCTGAAACTTGGTTACGCCCAACGGTCTGTTGCTGTTTGGTAAGGGAAGTAAACAATACTTTCTTCAAGTATACTAGTCATGCTCATGCGTTTTGGTTGTCAAATCCCAAGGTGTTTCATGTCGTCAATTCGAAGAAATAGTAAACAGATGTACACTTGACGTTAACACTATCAAGGCTTGGGTTGTCAGGATAGCCTGGAGGCCGAGCCCGAAGTTCTGCTAGATCCCAATACGTTGAGTGAAGATGGAACAGTATCGCTATCTCAATCTGCTCTCAGTGAAGACGGAACGTTTTTAGCCTGCGGTATCAGTGCAAGTGGTAGTGATTGGGTCAACATCAAATACATGCGAGTGGCTGACAAGAAATTTCAGTCTGATGTTCTTTCATGGGTAAGATTGATACTCAGCAAATAGATTGATCTCATGTCATTGTGCAATATCAGTTTGTTTTCTTCAACCTAGTTTCTGATGCCACTCACCTGCCATTAGGATGTGCCCATTTGCTTTAAGAGCTCTATGCAATGCATCGTGTAGCGCTGAGCCTGTGCTCGAGTTATATAATTATCGGGCTATGAATGGAAAATGTTAATGAGTGCATTTTCTAACTGTCATACACCAGGTCAAGTTTTCATCCATCACTTGGACTCACGATCACAAAGGTTTCTTCTACAGCAGATATCCCGCACCAAAGTACGTCCTATTAACTTGACGTATCTCAAAATCAGCAGAACGTAGTTGATTTGATTCGTACAGAGAACCTGGTTTTGGAGATTCTAGCTCGATTGTGTGCTTTTTGGATACGCTGCTGTCCTTGAATGATGAATAACGTGAGTTTAAACTAGAGCAATACAATTTCAACATAGCTTCCGTTTTCTGTATGTATGTATGACAATATGAAAGGTTATCCCATAGCTCACAAACAAATGAACAGGGAAGGAGTGGACGCGGGAACGGAGACGGAGATCAATTTATATCACGAGCTTTACTATCATTTTCTGGGGTCTGATCAGTCAGAAGATATTCTTTGTTGGAAAGATTCTGACAATGCCAAGTGGCTCTTTGGATCAGAAGTTACAGACGACGGAAAGGTGAGAGAAGGGCATTTTTCTGTCATCCATTTAGAGTTCTGTTCGAAAGGATGATGCAGTGCATCTCCTCACTGTGATCCATTTTCCACGTCTACTTACCCACATGTGTGATTTGTGTTGCAGTATCTGCTTCTGACAATCGAGGAGGGCTGTGATCCAGTTAACAGGCTGTATTATTGTGACCTCACTTCTCTTCCAGCTGGATTGGAAGGTTTCAGAGGAAGTACAGATATGCTTCCTTTCCAGAAGTTGGTAGACAATTTTGATGCACAGTACACTTACGTTGCAAATGATGGCAGCGTATTCACTTTTACATCCAACAAAGATGCTCCGAAATGCAAGGTAACCCGGGTAGACCTCGAGAATCCGACCGTGTGGACGGACATTATCCCGGAATCTGAAACCGATGTTTTATCATCAGCTACTTGCGTGAATGAACAGCAGTTGGTTGTCTGTTACTTGAGTGACGTAAAACACGTACTCCAGGTGAGAGATCTACAAACGGGCAATTTTCTCTACCAATTGCCTTTGGACATTGGGAGTGTGAGTAGTGTATCAGGAAGGAGAGAAGAGAGAGAAATATTCTTCAGATTTACGAGCTTTCTCAATCCAGGAACAATATTCCGGTGCAACTTGGCAGCCGTTAAGCCCGTTCCTGAAGTTTTTAGGGATACCGAAGTGAAAGATTTTGACCGGGATGCGTTTGAAACCAAACAAGTGTTTGCTTCTAGCAAGGATGGCACCAGAGTACCTATGTTTATCGTGTCAAAGAAAGGCACGATCTTGAATGGTGATCAACCGACACTGCTGTACGGATACGGTGGCTTCAACATAAGTCTTACGCCATACTTTAGCGCTTCCCGTCTGGCACTCGTTCGACATCATGGGGCCGTATTTGCTATGGCCAATATCAGAGGAGGAGGAGAATACGGAGAAGACTGGCACAAAGCTGGATCTTTGTCGAAGAAACAAAATTGCTTCGATGACTTTCAAGCATGCGCCGAGTATCTCATTTCGGAAGGCTATACGCAACCGAAGAAATTATGCATCGAAGGGGGTAGTAATGGTGGTTTGCTTGTGGCGGCATGCGTGAATCAGGTACGGATGGGATGGTCTCTTTAGCAAGATCTGTAAGTATGTGAAAGTACCGATGCGCAGGTCCATAAGAAATTTTCAACAACAATTAACAACCCAATTACTGTTTTGATTTGTTGGGCTTGCAGCGGCCTGAACTATATGGCTGTGCTCTCGCGCATGTAGGAGTGATGGACATGCTTCGCTTCCACAAATTTACCATCGGTGAAGTCATACTTATCATTGTGCAGATGTCAATTGTTTTCCAAAGCGTAGAGAACGTTCACTTTGTAGAAATACTTTGTGAGGCTATTATATGGATTTCTACTCGAAGTCAATCATCTTATCGGTTGGTTTGCTGTTATTGTTGCTATTGTTCTGTAGATGTGGTGTGGTTGTGTGTAATGTGGTAAGAGTTCTCATCCGTTTGCATTGTCTATGGTTCCAGGGCATGCATGGACATCCGATTATGGCTGCTCTGATAAAGCCGAAGACTTTGAGTGGCTGGTCAAGTGAGTTTTTGATTTTCCTCTTGGTTTCTCAACTCCCCAACTTCTGGACAACTCCAAGCTCCACTGAGTCCACCTTCCAAGTTTTAGAACATAGATAAACGGTCTTCTTCCATTCACTGATTTCATTTTGCCAATATTGCGTTTCGAATCAACTCAGATACTCCCCACTTCATAATGTGAGACGTCCTTGGGAGGGAGCGCAAAATGGAAGAAACAACGTGCAGTATCCTGCAATGATGTTGCTGACAGCGGACCATGATGATCGAGTTGTTCCGCTACATTCTCTGAAGCTTCTTGCGGTACGTTTGATGAGAAGAATCTCTAGAGTAAAGGTTTGGTTTCAACCTGAGATGTGAATTACTCTCGAATTTAAGCGTTGCTGGATCAGCTAGGGAAACAGGGTGAATGACATCAACTTACACCGGGTGGCTTCATGTCTACAGACCTTGCAGTATGAACTATGCAAAAAGGATGCGAACAGTCCTCAAACAAATTATATTATTGCCCGCATTGATTCCAAGGCTGGACACGGGGCAGGTCGCCCTACCCAGAAAATTGTGAGTTTTCAAAATATTTCTCCGTCACCTTTTAGAAATCAGAACTTCAGTATTCTCAAGAAAAGATCGGACGGAGAAGGAAGACAAGTTTTTATCTTCGTATATGGATAAAGTGGAATTGTTGCAAACGGAAATAATCTCGTGGTGATTGGAGTAATCAGAGTAGCGCTGCAGTTATCGTGTTTATATAAGCCTTTTTCCGGTCATATGTCTTATGCCAGAACTGCGGAATTTAACGATTTGGTTCTGCTTTGCAGATTGATCAAACGAGTGACGCATTTTCATTTTTCGCCATGGTCACCGAGGCGCCTTGGATCGAGTAGGCAGCGCGAGGGAACAGATAAAGTTTCGTAGAGGTGTTGCGCTAGATATCGGCAGAGACAGGAGTGAAGTTTGCACTGTTGTCCTCGAGCAATTTTTTGCTGGTCCCGTGCAGAGAGAGGCGCTGCGTGTATAGTAGGGGCGTTGGCCAGTGAGTTTGGCCAACAGTGTTTGTCCTCATGGAGTACTCATTTATTTAAACGAAGTTAAAAATTTCCATTCGAAGATGTCATTACTGCCCAAAGCTCAGATGCATGTGGTGAATGCTGGTCTGTCAAGCTAAAATTACAGATAGTTCGATCTGTCGTATTGCAAAATCCTGTCGAAAGCGTACAGACCTAAATCTAGTCACAGTAATGTGGGTGGCAGTTGTTGTCACAAATGTTCTTGTGCGATCTTTGATGAGGACGTGAAATCTTACATGAAGTAGGTTAGAGAGTCCCTTGTTTGCTGGACCACTTTGTTCCGAAGGTCATAAATGTGTACAGCTTCTGTTAGTTGGCCGGAGCCATTATGAAATGTATCTCAGCAAGAGATTCTGGTTAGGGTATGGTTGATATTCTGGAAATGTATGGTACATTGGAGTTTGCGTCATGTAGCCCTCAAGATATAAAGAGGAAGAATCATTACAAGACAATTATCAGTCGTCTCGAAGTGTTTTTATACTCTTTTACTTAAAGGCGTTCCTGATAATCGTTTGCGGTGCCCATTGGATTTTACACTTACAACAAGTATGTTGTAAGTGATTCTCTTGATTTGTAGGAGCGGAGAGTTCTGAAGAGGATCTCTTCGCTCCTCTCGATCTCAATCTGACCCGAAAAGCATGAACTTTTTCTATTCGTTGGTACTAAAGAGTCGTGTCCACACCCTTAGTACATGGACTTTTCGGACAGCATATAACACCGACACAAAGTCAGCTTGTAATGCATGAAAATGAACTTTAAGAATCCAGAACTTCGTAGGTCAGGTGGACGATTACTACGCTACAAGCCTAGAAAGCTTTAGCGTAGCTTTTTCCGTGACTCAGCGACGTCTCAACTTAGAGGAGAAACTTGTCTACTTTACGTGCTGTAAGTTAGTCTTTAGTGACCAAAATGGAAAAGTATAGAGGCAATATAGCTCTATCGGTTTATTGAAGTACAAGTAACAAGGAAGAGCTTGACCAACCCCAAGATAACTCCGACTGCAGGCCATTGAGTTTGTACAGACAGACTTTGGGCGCTAAGGCGTTTTAAATGGAGGAACAGAAAATTGCAAGAAATGCAGATAATCACACCAGATTCATCGACAATTCGTCAATGAGTAAGTGGGAAAAGCCTATTAATTTAAATGTCGAGGAAAACGAATTTTAATCACCCTCTATGAAGATATCTACGAATGCATGAAGATTTCTGAAGAGAAATCTTCTCCCTAATTTCGCTATCACAGCTAGTGTGTAAGAAGGATGAGAAATTCCTTCTCGACTCGTTCCCGCAACGTTCAGTCGACCGGGGGTTGTAATTGGGTCGTGATGTTCAAATTGCTGGTGTTCATTTACCAGTAAAGCATCGTGGACACGGACAATCTATCCAAACTTTTCGCTGGGCTCGGCTCTTCCGCAGTGGATGATCACTCGAGTATCTTTCCAAGTTCCAACGGAATGAGAGGGCACGGTGTCAGCTACCACGGCTGTTGTCGGGGCCGTGGAAAACTATGAGAGAATTTCGAAAGGGCATCAAACAGGATCGATGTCAACGAATTCCGTGAGGGTATCATCGCATTTCACGGACGAGAAAGACGGAGAAGGTGACGATGATGAAGGATATGAGGAAAGACATGAAGGTCTCGGTGACGATGGTGTCCGTGGAGAAGCCAAGCAGAGTGGACACGTGGCCGGCGGGGCTTCTGGGGTACGTGTGCAAGCGGAGGGCGTTGCACTCGTGGCAGGCCGTGCCGATGACCGCCTGCTGCAGGGCCGTCGCGGGCGATAGCGAGAACGCGCCGGAGGTGGGGCCCGCCCGCATGGGAAACCGCATGAGCGCCGATGAGAAGGCCAGCGCCGACGTCGAAGAAATGGCCGCGACCGTCGCGCCAAGGACCAGGCCGTCGCACAGCCACGGCGTGCCCCGAAAGCTCCTCCACAGGGACGCGCAGGCCGACCACCAGTTCCTGGCCATTGTCCTCCGCGCCTACGACCGTGCGCCCGCGACCGGTCCCATCCGTCGCAGGCCCTTCATCTGCCCAGGCACGACGAGACAGACCAGACCGTCAGGGGATTGAAGTCCCGACGAGCTCGACTGCTCTCCTCTCGAGCATGTCTACAGCAACGTTCGCTAGTTCTTTCCTGCGATGGCGGAGGAGAAGAATTGCAATGGAGGATGCTCGAGGAGGATGGCAGAAACCTTTGACATTCGGCCTGGTGTGTATCGGATATCCGAGTTTTGCTTCTAGTTCACATCCCCATCGCCTCGAGCTCCTCCTCTCAGCTTCAATCACGCCTTGGTTGATTTCTCAGGGCGTTCTTCCAGAGCTTTCACCGCATGCGTCGACTCTGCTGTCTGTCTGCAAGCAAGTGAAACTCAGTGTATCAGCAGCTTCCTTTGTCGGGTCTGATGCTTTTGACTCGCCTGGCCTTTGAGCGATGCTGGATCAGAACGTGCAGACACCATTTGATGAGTTGCGAGTCGTCAAGGAGTGAGAAGACCCACTCTGGATGGAGTCCTGAAAGCTGACCCAGGAGATCCCGAAGCCAAATATGGCTGGCTTTTAAGAGGACGGATTTCACATTCTCCCCATTTGACACCACAGGTGCAACGCCCTCTACACCGACCCCTTCTCAGGAGATAGGGAGCAACTTCAGCAAACTTCTAGCTAGTGTGCAGATGAGCGATATGGTGACGAAGAACCACCTGAACAGCATCGCCGTGGTGTTTGTTGTTCCATGACAGTGCTGATGTATAAACTGCCTGCAGCGGGAGCCTGCCTCAACACCAGTCTCGATATATGTGTCGATATCTATGCCTGCATACGTGACCTGTATCGTGAAAGGAAGACGCTGAGAGAGAACAACAGCTCAACATCATCTCGTTCAATTTTTGTGTCGCTCCGTCCGGTGGTCTTGTCTACAAATTTGCAATACATTTTGATTCTCAGAGAGAACGTCAAAAGCGTCCTGCATATGCATGGGTGGACATTCTCCAGAGTCAAGTTGATATTCCCCTTCAAGAGCTAGTCTCACACCTTTCATCTTAAACAGGCAGACTTCTCCGACAATGTAGTTCAACGACAGGAAGTGACTGATAATTTTTTCCGTCTACGGCATTCTGTAATTCGAGGCCATACTATAGTCCTCTCGCACATGGGATGCGAGAAGACTTCAGATTCTATGCCGAACGTAGGCTTACACAAGATTCCAAGCATTATCTGACCATATATTCAGTGAGTGTTGTTCTATTCTTGCTGCAGTCTCTGCTCGATCTATAAGTCTCACTGACCCTCGTAGTCGAATTTCAGAAGAATTAGGCGTAAGGATGCCGGCCGACATACATCCCGCTCAGCGCCCTGCCTGGATAAATCAGTAATTTCTGTTTAAGCTAACATCCCAAGTAGAGAAATTGTACGTGTACGATTATTGACTCGGCGTTCACCTCCTGAGATTTATATTTCTCGAATACAGATAAAGATCAAGAGTCAATCGTCGCAGATATAGACAGTATACTTGCAGAACGGTGGTGCAGCAATTCTGCACTAGAGTGATCATTATGTGCGTAGGAAGATCGTGCGAAGTTGAATGTATTGGGTCTACCACCTACATTCCTTCACCGCGGAATTCAAGCATCTGTTACAAGGTCGAACTCGGAGCAAGGAAAATCCAATCATCTACAAAATTGTAGACTGAGTAACTTCAATTGGCAATGAAGGACTGCCCATGGTCACTTCAGCAGTTGGCTTCAGATATGGAGAATAAAGGATTTAATCCACGGCATCTACCCAGAAAATGATCCAGAACTACTCGGACTTCATCCAAAATAACTCTAGCATGAGCTGCACTGGAGCTTATCGTGGAAAGATGTTGTGGATTAAGTCCACTGTATCTAGCGAATCGCTTTCGGAGATGAAAGTAAACGCATCTTGCGTGCAGGAGAACCAAAATGCGGGATGACGATTGGCGCCAGCTTCAGCAATGGGGCGTCTTCCTTTTCTTGTCCACAGAAGGCAAAAAAATTGATTTGAATCTCATTGCGAGGGGATTCGAATCATCATTCACTGATCAGGGGGACTCACAGCAGCTAATTTAGAGCCTTCGACCCGTAAAAGCTCTGGAAACTAGAACAAACGGGGACTACTCACATGGTTTTCAGGTTCAGGACATGGAAACGACGCTTTACCCCTTCCTTCTTATTCGCAGGCTCCACAGTTTTCATACCGGATTACCTCAAGGTACTTGAACGCGTATCTTGAGAAAGACACTCAAGGTGCGGCAATGCAAGGCTCATCAACTACAGAGAAAGCAGTGGCTCCTCCAAAATTCACACGCAGCTTGAAGCTCTAGTAAGCTGACCGTCTCCGTTCTAGGAAAAGTCCATGATACGTGGACACAATTGAATGCCCATGTGACTGGAGTTCGACGCCAATTCGACGGGCAGCGTGTCAGAGAAATCCATCGAGACTCTAGACATCGAACGGATGAGTCCACAAGCACAGCAGAAACAAACTCGAGTGCCTCAAATCTCAACGACGACGCGAAGCGTACCGAGACCAAAATAGAGAGAGAAAGAGAGGGAGAAGAGAGCACCCACCGCATGCTGCGAGGTTGCATGAAATGGCGATTAGTCCTGGTGAATCTGCGCGCGCGCAAGCTAAGGCCGTTGTCCTCGTTCCGATGGCTGGCAGAGGATGCAGAAGGCAGCAGTCACAGTGACTTTCTGGGACTCGACCCGAGCTTCGACGACCACGGATCTGCAGAACCTCATGATCCTGAGAAATGGCGAATCCCATGCAATCCAAGCCCGATACGCAACCGAGGGCCGCCGACGTGAAGCGGTTCGATCGATCGATCGATTCTTTGGCAGGCGGGCGGGCGGGCATTCAAGATCGATGGACGATCTCGGGACTCGGAGGACGACGTCAGCCGGTTATGCACGAGATGGGAAGTGAAGCCCGAAGGCCAGCGATCGATCTTCAGCGTAACGGCTCAGCGCCGGTGGCATCATCGGCCAGGCGGCAAGACCGTTCGGACAAGAAAGCCCTCCCTTCCTCCCTCCCTTCGAGCCTTCGGGCGCCGCTGCTCTTCTTGTTCGTGCTCATTACTCGGTTCACTGGAAGCCTTGCGCGAGGGAGCATTATCATAAATATCCCACAGCACGTCGCGTCGGCCATGTGAATTCAACCCTTCGGCCGTAGTTGCATGCTCTCCTCCGGCTCCGATGCTAGCGATGGCCATACTGCTGCGGTTGGTTGGGCAAGACTGGCGGTGATGCGCGGAACCGAGAGCTTCATGCGACGAGGATTCGGGCCGTCTGCTGACTTTGAGTCTGAAAAGGAGGCGTTTGGTCGAGCCTTCTCCTTCATGTCGGGCTACAGGTAGACTTTGAGAACCAGATACAGAATTGTTCAGGTCAAGTGAAAGGGAAAGCTCGACCGGGTGTTCTGACCAGAAAGAACCTTGTGGGTGTGGCTGGACAGGAGTCGTGATTGGGGGAATATTGTTCCTTTGTGGAATACTTTCACCCCTCCGTGGTGAACTACTGATTTTTGAGATGATTTGTTTTACAACCGTATATCCACTCTGGGGGTTGTGCATGCATGCATGCTTGTAAAGCAATAAACTGTACATAGTTTCTTCCTTGCGCGGTGTTCACACTAGAAGTTTCCTCGATTCGTCCTTCACAGGTCGTGGCAAAGGGACGGGACAAAGTGAAGTGGATACAAAACGCTCAATGAAAACCTTATGATTTTATTGTGATTGTGTACGATACGTGTTACTAAGCTGGGATTCCTCGCTTCACTCGACAAGACTTCAGCATTTGGTCGTAAAGGCTTGGCTGGTAATTTTGCGGACAAATGCAAAAGCGATTTAATAGAGTCTTCACATGGTTTGGGCGAACTGTCAATGTCGAACTGCTCATATCACCAGATGTATTCATGCTCGACGGTGACACTTTCAGTCCTTGTCAGAGGAACCTAATCAGGAGAACTCTTTGCAGCTGAATGTATTTCTGTCTTAATTCTGTCCATATACCAGTGTTCTTGTTCACGAGGACCAACTCGATTTTTGAGTGCTTCTTTGCATGACTGAAGGAGTGGAAGCTAGTGGTTCACATGCCGAATTCACCTTAAAGACGCCACAGCTTCAGACACACCATGTGGACGCTGACACAAGCAAGTAAATCTGTTGTGCACCATATGGTTACAGCAGTTGTAGAACTTTCCTCATTGGTTTTTCCCCACCGCTGATGGTTAGGTCAATCTCAGCGCCAATGATACTTGCACCATGTGCAGGTATATTCACTCGGTTAATACAACAATATTTGTGTGGGGTTCCAGCTATACTTTTTGAGGACAATGGGTATGTTTTCAACAAGTACTAGGTCTGTGAAATAGTTCTGGGACCACAGGAATTCTGGTTTGAACTAAATCGGAACAATTGCTGTTTTTGCTGGAAGGATCAGCTTGACAATGAATGTTGCCGTTAGTTAGCTGCAGGTACTAACAGCACTAACAGAGAACTAGATATTTACCCTGGGGGTTTACATTGAGGGCGGGCGCTCCACCCACACTCATCCAGGAGGCAGTCAAAAGGAGTCAAAACAATGATCGGGACATTTGCTGATGCAAGTAACCGAACCGGTCTGCCATCGGAATCTTTGATCTGCACGTAGGAGGTAGTAAAAATTCGATCGTTTGCTCTTACTTCGGACGTTCATGTTCGTAGGAGATAGTCACAATCTTCGTCCAAGGCAACCATGGCACGTTCTCCTCACAATGGAAGCCGCGCTCACGATTCCCTCTTCTCATCTGCTTCTCCTCTTTCGCCTTGTGCAGCGATATCAAATGGCCCTTGTACCCTACTGTGCATCAGCAATGCACGACGTTACGGACAGATGCATTTATGCATGCTTGCTTTGAGGGAGGGGTGAGGCTTAGCAGCATCTCGAGCTTACTGTATTCTGGCTTCGTCCAGTTAGTTTCAACTGAATCTCGACACTCTGGTTGTAAATGGACAATACTGAGGCAACTGGGATGCAATTGATTGAAGTATGGGCGTGACGTAATTTGTCCGATTTTCGTTCCACTAATCGTCTCCGGACGTACGTGTTATGAGAGCAAAGGTTTCATCGAGCAACTGACTATAGGGATCGTACAAAGTGCTTTGGAAGTCTTAAGATGGAGGTGCGTTGAGCCGACATTACACTTAAGTTGTCGTCTGAAATCCTCGTTGATTCTGCCCTCAAACTGTTCAGTCTCTAGCGGAGACAAGCTTCTTTGGTTACGAAACTGTTCAATTACGACAATGTCTGTGGAAGTATGAAGATCTGTTTTCTCTCCGAGCGATCATCAGAGTCGTGAAATTTCAGAGAGATGGTCTCGCTTCCTTCTCATTTTCATCGATCAGAAGCGCTCGTAAGATCGATAACAGCTTGGATTTCATGTGCAGAAACCTGAGCTAAAAGACGATAAAGGTAAAGATCAAGAAGAGAATGATGAAGCCAAGAACAAAAGACCCAGGGATTTAAGGATTCCTCTGTTGAATCTAGAACGTGCAAGAGAATATGTCCCTCCCGCGAGTCCCACTGAAAAGACTGCATCCGACAGTGAGATGCTTATCATCAGCGAGCTTCCAAATATTGGGCAGCCAGATTTCTCATTTAGCCCCGTTCTAGAGAGAGAGGTGAGAGATCCATCATGACATTGAACACGAAATCTGCAGTATTTTCTTATGAATGAAAGAATGTATCAATGCCCAAGTTTTCCTACACCTTTAAAGATCATGGGACAAACAACTTACACGAAGCTCAGTGAGTTGCTTCGTGGAGATGCTCAATTGGGAGAAGTACGGTAGCAAGAAATAACATGAATGAGTTGTTATATCGCACGTCCGAACCTTGGCGTAACACACTTGTAGACTCCCGAAATTACGAGTTTTCGCAAATCTGAACGCGACCTTGCCCCAACATTATGTTGTCAATCTTCAGTGACACTGACGGTAAACATCGGGCTATGGTGTTTGATGCTGAGCCGGTCGTGGATAGGACTTTTAGAGACCCCGGCACTGTTGATAGTCCTCAATTAGTTGCAGAAATCATTCGCATGCAGAGAGAAAGCTCTATCTGGAAACGTAGCGACTTTCCTCTTCTACTAGGTAGAGGAAAATTGCGACAATGTCGATCTTGGATGAATGCAACTGTTCTTTAAAGCTGAGACTTACAGTCAGCTATTTGGTTGGGAAGGATCAGCGAGTGCTGCCAATTAACTGTTAGGTTTATTGCCTGGCCATCTGCATCCAAAGATTCTCATTTGTGGCTGATGAAGAGACTTCCATTGACTTCAGGACTCACCGAAACTCAAGGCACCGTCTGCCTTGAGTGATGAAGCTGTGCAGCAAGTTCTGCAGGGAATTAACTCGTGGACTTTCGATATTTTTCAACTCGATGATGACAGTCTGCCTAAGGCAAATCTCTTCTTTCTGAAACTGGAATCAATTTCACTCGGATTACGGCCCTAATTGTCAATAGGAGTTTGCAAAAACAGATGCATGGAATCTTCTTCAGAAGCAAGTGTCATTTCTAATGCTAGCTTGATATGAAAGCTAATCGGTTCTCTTAATGACGCGACAATATTGCTACTAATTGACGAGCCTGACCTTCAGGACTTACTCTTCCAATACTTCTGACTTTTCGTATCAAATTGCATGCAGATGGTGGAAAAAATCTTCCGCGAGCTTGGTCTCTTTGATAACTTCCCGCTAGATGTTAAAAAAGTTCGAGCATTCACGAATGCGGTGAGTAGAAAAACTTTCACATTTTTTAAGCTAAATCAGACACATAACATGACAGATAAGAAGCGGCCGTAAGTGGCCCATAGACTTGTTGGCCAGCAAAGAGCACATCTTCTCGCTTCTTTACTTCGTAGGACCAGAGTACACTATAAAGATGTCAATCCTTGATATGCAGTACTGAGCCACACTCGACCTCGTGTTCTGATAATTCTGGTGTCACCCAAAAGTCCGAGAAAAAGCCTTATTCACAGAAATGTACGGTTCTATATGGAGCATCTTGAGAAAAATCGAAGGATTTAGGGTGGTAGCATATCTACTTTTGCATCAATTGCTGTGGTATGCTAACCATAACTGACGATAGGAAGAAGCTACTCTGCAAAGTTGAAACTTCCAGACAATTTTTTCAACATGAAGTCACGTCTATGCAGATGGTAATGCGGTATCAGCCTAATCCGTATCACAATTTTCGACATGCTTGTGACGTGTTGCATGCTGTGTAAGTACGAGAACTCTGTAGACTTGAGAAATTGCAGGGCTGCCATTGTTTTAGTTTTTCGGGAAAATCGTGCTCTGGCTGAATGAACTTTCAGATTCACTGTAGAGGAGGTTTTCCTTCAGAAACAAATATCTATTATCATGATGAGAAATCAAGTGAAACGTCGTGCGAGCGTTGCTAAATTTTTCGCAACTGAACGCAGGTATCTTATACTGACTTTGGTAGATGGAAGGAAAAAGCTTTCACATTTGGAAGTATTTGCCTTGGCTCTTGCTGCTCTTTGCCACGATGTAGATCATCCCGGTCTTACAAATGCATTCCTTGTGGCAACATACGACCCCTTGGCCCTTCGCTACAATGACAGAGCCGTCTTAGAGAGCCATCATGCTGCTACATGTTTTATAACCATGCGGGTTTGTGTCCATGACCTCAAGCTCACCGAATTGCACGTTCTAAGAAATATTTGCATTACCTATGTAGCTGTAGATAATAGAGAGCTCCATTGTGTCCTTCCTTGCTGTAAGTACCAAGCATATCTGGTTCCTGTTGACGTTTTTAGAGGTTCTATTTCGTATAGTATCTACTCCAACGCGCTCGTTGGTTCAATCAGAAACTGCCTTAGCCTCTGATTATGTGTTGTATACTGCCTTCCAAACAAGACCTTGGCAATCATCTTCTGAGAACAATCCACCAATACATAAAGAAATTAACTTATCTTCTCTGACGCTTCAGAGGTTTTTCATTTCCGAGGTGGAAGTTTTAGAGTAGCTGTCTAAACTCTGAACCTAGTGACGTAATACTCTAAAGCTTCCGACTTGGAAAAGAAAAACTTTGCTCAGGTTGCTCACTAATGAGCAACCACTCTTTCCCAGATTCTTCGGCGCGTTGATGTTTCTGTATTTTCACAACTGTGTTGCTTTTGTAGGCAGGTCCCTTGAGGTTCAGAAGCTGTACTGGTCAGGAAGTCTAGATTTCAAGGTCATTGATTTTACTTGGCATCTACTGTTGTGGACTCAAGTGATCCATTGCAGGGTAATGACTCGTTGAATCTACTTGCTGGACTTAGTGAAGAGGAGCAGAGACACATGCGGAAGCTTATGATCGTCTTAATTCTTGCAACTGATATGGGAGAACATGCTCGAATCTTGCGCGAAGTGGGTGAAAGAGTTCAAGACCTTCGCCCTTTTGAACAATCTCCATTTTATACCCCTCCAGGATGTTTATCTCCAATCTTAAGAGATGCTGAAAGCTCCTCTTCAGGGAATACTACTGCAGGAGCGAAATCGTCTGACGCACCTCCATCGCCGAAACGGCTCCCAGACAAAGTGTATAAGAATCCGCTATCACCTTCACCACCGATCCAAAGCACAAGCGACGTCATGCTACTCATACAGCTAATTATCAAATGTGCGGATATTAGCAATGTCGTGAAGCCATTCTTTTTGTCAAAAAGGTGGGCCGCGTTGCTTTTGCTCGAATGGTTCAGACAGGGAGAGATTGAAAAGCAACTGGGTCTGCCTATCTCCAAGTTTATGGATAGAGAAGATCCCTCAACTCTCATGTGAGTAATGTTTACATCTCATGCCAAGTTTCACATACAGCACTTTTATCATCACTAACAGAGAACTATGATCTGCCAGTATAAGTAGAAACATAACACTCCCGTTTTGACTTTAATGATCGCAAAACATTTTATCGGAACCCGGAACTCGGGAACCCTGAAATTCACCATATAGAAGCGGTGCATAGATATCACTTCAAGATGATTTTTCTCCAACCATGGCAGGTCTTGTGGACTCTCTTGCATTTACCTTTTTCTGGAATAATACTCTTGATGTTGTGCTTCAATGTAGCACTCCCCACGTCGAGCCAATGTCCAACTCGAATCTACCAAGATTGCTATCATCACCTCCACATCTGACAGCTCGCAAGTGTGATTAGAAATAAGATGTGTTCTTTGACCCCGTCACTTTCTTCATTGAACATTAAAATATACAGTTTCCAGGATGTAATTCCAGGCTCAGCTTTGAGTCTCACACACAAGTCCGAAACCCTTACCAATTGGGCCGGTGACTGATCAGCCACAAAATAAAATGACTAGTTACCTCTCATAAATAATAGTCACTTTACACTTCACTGAGTCGCTCTGCTGTGGTGGAGCTCTCAGGTTGATTCGCAAATCAAATCTCTGAAGGTCTCTGCCACTTCATACTCTTGTCTAAATTTTTAAGCTTAGTCTATGTTCTCTTGACCCTAACCTTTTCTCAGTTGCGCACATGTGATTGAAGGGCTATGACTTGTGGATGCATCGACTATATTGCGAAGCCCATGTATGAAGTGATGACAAAACTTTTGCCACGAATGCACGAAAACGTTCTAGTCAATTTAAACCTCAACCGGCAGATGTGGAGTACATTCAGTACCAATGGCCGCCGAGCCTCCGAAGTAGGTTTCCAATACTCTTGCTTCAATGACGAAGCTTCTTCATTCACTTTTATAATTCGTTGGAACAGGATAACATCGCTGGCTGGTTGGTACAAATAAACTTGTGCACTTGCCAAGCGGATACCAAGTATTCCTCAGGGTCATGAAGTTCTTTAGAACTGTCTAGGCTGCCTTAAGGTGTTTGTTCTTTGGATCGATCGATGTTCCCTAGATTCGGAATTTATAGTTTTCTCTGCGTGTAGAAATAATCTTGCACGCCTGTGAGCAAAGAGTCTGCTACATTACAAACACTTCGTTTCATCTCAAAAATTCTACTCTGTTCATCGTTTTATTAGGGAATTTGGATAGACTTCAATCTGTGACACATTCCCTTTTATCTATATAGTACATAGATAGTAGATCCAAGAATTTCATAGCCACTTCACAGTTTTCACTAAGAATATATCTTTGGGCCCTGAAACTTCAAAGTTCTCATCAGTTTCTCTATAGCATGTTTCCTGCTTGTGTGAGCGTGTGAGATCCTCATCGTCCTTGGAAGAATTTCCAATATACTGATTCGAAAAAAGCTATAGATATTTTGAAACTCCCAGTCATCAAAAGCCATTAACAGTGGAACCTGTGGTTCGAGCAGACAGCACAGCAGATTCTTGGTCCCTTTGCACCTCCACCTATTCCTAAGGGAGAAGCGGTTCAAGAAGGATATCAACAAGATCATTCTAAGTTGGAGGGAAAGTTGGTCGCAACATTTAGCGGACAATATGTATCTTCAGATGTACCATCCAGGAAGCTAGAGAGTTCACCTTCTGCTAAGTCCTTGGGAAGTGTGTCGGAGGACTCAGAGGAAACTGTGGAGAACGTGGAGGATAGCCCGATACTTTCTGTCACTGATCGAAGCTCGGAGTTCTCTAGATTAGGGAGTGAAGCAGGATCGTCAGTGAAAACTAGCCCGCAGTTTTTAAGTAGAGCTGGTACAGAAGCTCCAAGTAGTCCACAGTCCCCTCTACAGGCATCACAGGAGCAAAGAGGCTCACCATCGCCTGGCGTTCAGTATAGGCTCTCTCCAAGAGGGCCAGGATCTCCTAGTGTGCCGGTGACTCAAATATCAGGAAATCCAGAGTCTCCCGGTTATAGAGAAACTTATGGGCCTGGCGGTTCACAACCTGCTGCTATGGAAGTGCCTTTCGTACAGAAAAGCCCACACGAGCCCGTTGCGGTAGACGTAGATGTGGCTACCAGCCAACAATCCGCTGATGTTATTGCGCCTCTGAGTAAACCACAAGCTCTTCAGGTGAAACAGCCAGTAGTCCCAACTGTTTCTCGCGGTGTACATTTTGACGACTCAGAGTTGACAGCGTCAGAGCGCTCTGAACTGAGTTCGTCGATACAGTCTGGCAGCTCACCAGACTTGGCTTTGAGAGTGTCATTTGTGGCGATCAACCCAGACTCTGATTCTGTAAAGGTATTGATAGAACAAAGTGATCCACTATCCACTGCTACCATCGAACAAAGAGATCCAGACAGTCCAAGAATGACCGGTTTAGAACCATTCCTGGAAGAGGTGGCAGCGTCATCATCTGAATCTAAGGCTGAACCCGAGACGGAGGACGAATATAATCAACGCTATGAAGCACCCCTGAGCCTCCTATTTGGAGCGCCAACTAGAGAAGAGTTGATGCTTCCTGCAAAGATTGGAAAAGATAAAAATGCTTCATTGGTATCCGCTCTCCTTCCAGGTGCCAACAACCTTGTCAATGATCGGAAACAAAATGCATGGGAACAGATGGCGTTCAGATCTCCTTCAGAACAGGCAGCGTCCCGGGGATCTATCTTAACAACCGTACCGTCCTTCGCCAATTCTGATGGAGATCTAGAGAAGTCATCGTCACTTCGGAAAGGACCTCCTCCGGGCTTCTGGGAGGCCCTAAGGACACATCCCAGAGTAAATCGGCTGAATCGAGCCTTGGAGAGTAAAACCTGGAACGCGCTGCTTATTGTGGCAACATTAGTAGCTCTATTCGCTGATGATGTTGTGAAAGGGTTTTTGCCCAAACACGCGGACGTCTATGAGTCACACATCCTAACGGCTTGTTTGAGTCTCTTCTTGGCTGAGTCGGCACTCTTGTGTATCTTCCGCGATCGATACTTCTTCAGCTTCTTCTTCTGGTAGGTATGTACACAACCTGCGCTAACAGGTCAAAGATAGACAAGATGAAAAAGAACTCGATGAAAGTGAGATGAACTTTATTAGGCTCTCTTTTTCTCCAGAGATTCTGATATGTGAAGTCTTGTCATACTCTTCTATACTATCACAACCTGCAGCACCATTTTGATGCACGCAGGTTAGATATGTTGGGGAGTGTGTCGCTCGTTCCCCTTGTTATCGGGATCACTGCACAGAATCTTGTGATAGCGAGGACTGGACGCGCAGCCAAAACGGTGACAAGGTTTAGCAAGACGTTGCAAGCTTCACACATTCAGCAACAAATAGTACACCATATTCCTGTGCTTCGTGTATTTAAGGTGATTACGGCCATAGCTGAGCTCTTCCTTTATCACAGCTATGCTATAATGAGAGAGGTCCCCTTTTCGATGTGAAAGTGTATATGTTGTCAGGTAAAGGTTGTGACTACGTATCAATATATGGAAATTTTACTCAACACTTCTTTATAATGTAATATGAAGACTTATCTCAAGGGTTGTGATGTTTTATTTGTGTGTTCAGTTCTTTGGCTTTAAGAGAGATTCCACACTCGAGAGTCCCGATTACGAGGAGGAAGAAAAGTTTTTGTCGAAACCCAGTCAATTGTGGTCGAGGCTAGCAGAATTGACCAGTCAGAAGCTCATCCTTGGAGTACTGATTATAATGATTCTCACTCCATATTTCAACAACAGCGAGAAGGATCTTGCACCTCTTGTGTCACTCGACCCTCTTGATGACTATCTAATAGGATCACCAAATTTCAATTTGACTGTAGAGCGCGTGATAAACATGACGAAAAGACATGGATACAATCTGCTGTACTTAGGTGTGAAAGCAAGTTGCCGCTCTATTAAAGAGGGTGGTTACAGTTACTGTCTTGGGATAGACGTAGCGGGAGTGGAAAAATACCAGCAGATCCTCCCCAATGTAGATGAGGAACCAGATGGGAGACAAGCGGCTCAGGAGGAGTTCAGACCTACGGAATTAATCTCCGTCACTAGCGATAGCTCTCGTGCGCAGGCTTATTACTCCATAAAGAAGAAAAGCAGGTTTAAATATGGTATGAACGTAAGTTCTGACTGTTGCTTGCTGGCCTTTCATTGTGCTCGTTGTAAGCACTCAAGGTCATGTATAACTGCCCGTCATTAAGCAGAATCTTGAGAAAATTAGAGTTTGGCTACCAGTGTTACATAACTTTTCGTTCAAAACAGGATCGATTCCTCCGATGAGCTCTGATCCGTTGGTCTTCCGTTTGTCCAGATTGCCATGACTGTACTTATTCTTCTCTTGCTTGCGGCCTGGTGCTTCTTTTTAAGTCGAGACTCAAACAGGTTACTGATTCAGGTAAATAATCAACCTCCGTCTCGTCATGGTCAACAGTACTCCGATGGTTCAATTGAAAGACTCGCATCAAACATGACGGAAAATGAGTCATGTTCCAGACAATAGACGAGAATAGTCCTCATAAAAATTTCTATGAACGGTTCACGCATATATTCGGTGTTTACGATTCACTTGAGTACTACAAGCTTTCTCTCTTATCAAGACTGGTTGTCGCAACTAATTCAATAAGAGACCTCGAACGAATTGAAGTACATTAAATTGTTGTGAACTTAAGCTATATCAGGAATTCTTCAGATGTTTCATTCGACTAGCCTTCCCGCTACTTCATCATCTCTGCAAGGTGAGTAAACCTTCAGTTAATAACTCGATGTGAAATCTGTTGACTTTAGCCTATTGAGCGCATGGTCCAATTTGTGAAAGAGCTCGCAGAAGACCCAGTATCTTTCGCAGGAAAGACTGTAGTGAAGCCAACAGGGGACTCAAGCAAGGTATCATCCATCATCATATTGACCTCTTTCATAGCTCTGTTGGCACTTCTCCACCATTTTGTCCCTATGTTTCTTCTACATCACTAAAATCCAGATTTCAAATATTGATCGAGTATTCTGAGCTTATGATAAACCTCTGACTCAAAGTTTTCAATGTTTTATCCACTGAATTTTCTTCGGTATCTTCGGATTCTTCTAGTCGTGTCCATGATAACGAAATATTTGACGCTTTGCCGCTGTACTCGTACAAGTGATCACCAGAGCTCCCATAGTTGATCATATTATCGACTGCTTCGAAGTGAATATAAGTCGCTTCTCTGAAGTGATTTGGAGCCCAGCTTCTGACAATTTGGGATGATGACAGTTTGACATCATTTTACCTTTGTCCAGTTGTGATATACATGTTCTGATATAAGAGGAACAGATACTCATTCTAACCATGCATTATACAGAGTTTTAATTTCGAATATTCGAGATCGACGGTCACTTGAGGTCTTGTTAGGCATTGTTAGATTCGATCAGTGGATATTTACATGAATGGTAGCGCCTAATAATGAGCCTTCCCGTTCATTGGTAGATTGCCCTGTTTCTATTTAGCTGTTGACGCGTGATAACATTCTTTGTTTCTGTACTTGTTATATATGATGGTTATATGATAGGGTTGTGTCAATGGAAACAAAACGCGTCTTCGTGGTAAGTTTTAAAGTAGCTCTTCAAAGAGTTTCCACGGATGAAAACGTGACCATTGATTGTGCCTGTTATTGTGCAGATTATGGAAACATTCTATGTTGAGGCTGCTCTTGTTAAAATTGCTAGTTTGACAAAAGTGGCCCTTGGCGATGCCGGAATGGACATACTTTCTGTAAATCTGAAAGGGTCTGAGTTCAACCGTAAGTTTGGAGTGAGCTTCGGAGTCGAAACAAAATACAATATGTTTGACTTCGTGTTTGTGAATGATTTCGTACTTTTACAAAGTGATTTCAAAGTCGAAAGGAACAAGGATACATTCTTTCTTAGTACTTATCAAGGCTGTTCCGGATCATGGTGACCTTAACCAATAAGCTCAAATATCGATCAGAATTTGCTTGTATTGAGTTCACTCAGTGTTCTCTACGCCTCACTGCACTAGTGTCCACTCCCACGTTCTTTTTGCAACTAACGTCACGGTCATTTCAATTCTACCTTTACCCTGGTTAGAATTTGGGTTGGTTTTCGCTATACTAGCTTTCTACAGGTCAAAACTCTACATGCATATTCGCCCCGAGGAAGATGTGCAGCTATTAGAATGCACCTACATTTGATTCACTCATCTACGCAGCTCTACTGACCTTCATACATAGCTGCCTCATTGGTTTATTTTCTCGTCTTTCGACACAAGTGCCGCCTATATTCCGCTGGATCCAATAATTAGATTTTCTTTTCATTGTACTTCTGTCACAGCAATGCTTCCTGGGAAGAAGATTCGTGCATGTTTTGGATTCTGTGACATACGAAACTTCACAGATGCAACGGAGTGCCTTCAGGAGGACGTGATGATGTTTGTTAACCGTATTGCTGATGTGGTCCACAATAAAGTGGTCTTGCACTCGGGTTTTCCGAACAAAAACATCGGGGACGCATTTTTGATTGTGTGGAAGAAAACAGTTTCCGACAACACTAACAAGGTACGCAAGTACATTCTCAGCTGGTCAGATGTCATGAGTCACTTCGTAGAATGCTGGAGCGTGGAACTTGACTCATACATGTAACTTGCAGTCCAGGGCCACATCCTTTGCTGATCGTGCTCTTCGAGCTTTCCTTGACATCATACAATCGATCGAGACTTCTCAATCGTTGGCTGAATTTGCGAAGCACCCTGCTATTCAAAAGCGCATGCCAGGCAAGCTCCAAACCTTTGTATTCAAACGATTTTCTTGTGTAAGCTTAGACTATGTAGGTCCACCTATGGAAGGCATTTGGGTGGTGAGTACGTAACAGGCGGCAATTCATCTGCAGGATATCGAATTCACATGGGCTTTGGGCTACATGTTGGTTGGGCTATTGAAGGGGCAATCGGCTCTGCCCACAAGGTGGACCCATCTTACCTTTCTCCACACGTGAATATGGCATCTCGATTGGAGGCAGCGACAAAACAGTACGGGGTTATGCTGTTGATATCGGAAACCGTAATTGCTCACTTGACCAAGAGCACTCTACGTGACAGCTGCAGAAAATTAGACCGAGTGACTGTGAAGGGTAGTCAGGATCCTATGGTACTTTACACATTCGACATTCCGCTGTTTCAGCAAGATTTGAGAGGCAATCCCCAAGAGTATAGGGACATCTTCGAAGAAGCAGTGGACAGCTACATTGATGGAGATTGGGACATCGCGTTGGAGAGGCTTCAGGAGTGTCAAACCTTATGGCCTACAGATAAACCTGCAACCGTTCTGCTGACCTTCATGGCCAGTCACAACAATATAGCTCCTGAGAATTGGGCTGGTTTTCGAGAACTCACCGAGAAGTAGTAAGTTCAATGAGCTGTCATATCAGGCCATGATTTCTCAAGTAGTATACAAACACTTCAGATGTAATTTTGTTCAAGTGTTTCGTATTGTGCATTCCCTGCGTCATACTGATATCTACTCTTATGTGACTGTACGACTGACGAGTCCCAAAATTCCCTACGTTCTATGCACTGCGAACAGCTTCAGAATATATTTTGTTTCTTCCGTGGTAGATAAGAAATTTCCGAGTGAGGGGCTCCCGTACACACCATAACAAACCGCATGTGAAGGTCAGTTTTGTTCAATTGAAAACATTGTAGGTTGCATGAGGATCGAGGAAAGCATATTGCTCTAAGTCAGTAATAAACAAAAGGGGCGAAGTGGTCAATATACATCAGACAGGACTCGGCTAACCTACCCTAACTATGAAGTTTCACCTATTTTAATATACTGTATATATAACATATGAATCGGAAATCGAACTTAACTATATGTAAGTTGGTTCATAGCCTATAACTTAACAAAGTTACATGTAAGTTAAACAGTCTGCAAATGACATAAGCAGCGGCAATTCATTCTCAGATTTTGATTATTGTCTTGTATCCGGTAAGTGCTCTAAGTTGTGTTGTTCAAAACAGATATCATTAGAGAAGTGTAAATTTATAGTTTCAAAAAACTCCAATGTTATGCAATCAGGTATATTTATTCCTGAGATATTAAATTATCGATGTTGCAGTTGTAAATTAAATGGATAGTGAAAATCCATCAAGATAGATAATTAATTACTTCTCAGAAATTATGATATGTGTAGTATGGAATTGTAATTTATCTTATCTAGCCAAGCATCATATTTTTTAAGTCATATCATCATAATTTACACCAAACTTATTTGAATTAGTATATTTTTCATATTGTATAGGAATAAAAATAAAACATTCATATGTTCTTGATATGTTGACCATATGTTCATGCTTTTAAACTTTCTCAATTTAATTAAGTTGCTTCATCAAAACATGCAATTGATTGTGTTTCATCATGAAAACCGTCAAATTTAATTATTATTTTGTTAACCCTTAGAGTCTATATGACTAGCATGAGCATACTTTTCTTCATATTATGATATCGATACATCTTATTGAAAATAAATTTAGAGTTGACCAAACCCCATATTTTGAAGGGTTAATATGTATGTATGTATGTATGTATGTATGTATATGTATATATATATATTAGATAAAACTCTTTTGTATATAAAATTGTTGAGGTTAATTCCGGTTAAGGTTATAAATATTTATAATTATGTGTGTCGTTAGCTTTGGATATAAATATATCACCAAGTTTTCTACTCGAGCAGAGCATTTTCAGTATTCAGTTGTCAGTAAATCTTAGTGGATTTAGCCCCTAGGATGAACCATGTTATATGAATTTCTCATATGTTTGTGTTTGGCTTGAGTGACACTTGGTTTTACGTTTAAGTAAGATTATAAAATATAAATAAAAATTATTAAATAATAGATTATTGAACGTGCTAATTCAAATTTTGATAACTTTTCAAAATCAACGATGCATTTTTTAGTAATCAAAATTACTAAAAAATGCATCAAATGTATTGCGGTGTTTTCATATATTTTTAAAAAACTTTCAATTAAGTTTTTTTGCTCAACATATTTCTTATTTGCTTCAAAAATGTTTTGATTGAATCAGGCAAAATAAACATTAAGTTGTGAAGTATATATTGTGGTGAAATAATGAATTGAGTACACAACACAAAGATCATATTTTTGATTTTTTAACAATCAAATATCAAATAAATTTTTCGGCAATCTTATTATGTTTTTGAAATCATTCAAATTGAAGTTTTAAACTAGAAAATTCAATTAATTTCTTAAAATTATATCTTATTATCAATTATTGACTATCAATATGCTATCAAAATCTATCCAATTGGATTAAAATTTAATGAAACACAAAATAAAAGTTTCAAAATTATAACTATCAAATTAAATACTTCTTTAGAAAACTCATAAAGATGTTGTAATAACTCAAAACCTTTTAATAAATCTGAATTGACAAATAATTTTAGGTCAAATTATAAATAATATGTTTTGAAAATTTATTTTTACTTTCTCATCATTCATTGATGAAAGAATCTAATCTCTTGAAGAAAAATTTTCTTGATCATTCTCTCGAATATGGTAGTAGTAAAAAAAACTACTACCATATTCGACAAATATATGGTAAAAAAGTGAATTGTAACTATTTGAGAATGTTATAATAAATGTTGTTACATGTCAAGAGTTCATCATCCTGACTTTAGGTTGATTGTGAAGCTTCATAAAGCGCACTTTAACTTGATTTTGATCAAATGGTAGTACATCAAACCAGTCTTTCAAGTGATAACAAGACAATGTGATTATTTGAAAAATCAAGGAACTAAATCATATATATAGATATATATATATATTACTCAAAATATTAATTAAGTATCTTTAATTTCAGATTACATGAAATCTATATTAATGAAATATCGACTACGTCATTGAGTAGTGTTTTTGTTAAATTATATATTACTCTAACAATTCTATTTGTAAGATATATTTTTGTATGTATGAAGTAGTTTTATCATGGTTTGATCTTGGGTTAGTTTAAATAGAACTAAGTTTAGTTAGTTATGATGAAGTCTAACTAGTTATGACTTAGTTTAGTTATAATGTCTATACATGACAAAATAATGAAAAAAGTTTTAGAAGATTTAGATGTGTTCTTTTAATTTGTCTCTTGCAAAAGTCTAGATTCCAAAAAAAAAAACTTTTGATTCTATGACCAGAGTTGATTGGTTTGACTAAGTAATGAAAACTTCATTGGTTAGACTAAGTCTAAAGTTGATTTAGTGGTAAGTCGAGCATCTAGAAGTTATAAAGTGTCAAATGTCATATCTTGACCTCAACCTAAGGATTAGTAAACTTCTAGAAGCTTTTGGAGTCCAATGACATTTTGTCACGTATTGGAAAATAGTCAAACCTACCGTAATTTATCTTTGTAAAATAAGTTAGAAGATAATTATCATGTTTTACTATGGTAATTTTTCAAGTGATATATATAGAGAGGTAAAGAATAGACTCTCAAGCAAATTTTGAAAGTTCATGCGTAGAGACTTGTTTCAAAGAGTGAAATTTTTAGCATCTTGGGGTGTAGATGGATGTGTGAACTTGAATGAAGTGAATGTGTAAGAGTGTGTTTGTAACATGAAGAGTAATCTTAAATTTCTAGAATCATGATGAACTATACCAAAGACTTCTAAGATAAACTTGAATAAGAGTCAAATTATTGAAAGTTTATTGTTACATTGAACATACTCCTTATGTTCCAAGTTGAGTTTGGTAGTATCTTCCTCCTACATGCATAACATTAATTCGTTATTTCTTAACAATTTTTATTCTTGAACTGACAATCTGAAATGATTTTATTTGATTATTTTGATTCAAAAGTTTTAAAATTATGTTAAAAATATATTTTTTAACTGAAAAAAAAATTTCATAGAAATTTCCAATGAAAATTTGGATTAAAATTAAAAAATTATATTTATTATAAATAATTATAATAAATAATTTTTAGGCTAAATTTAAATTTAGATATATACTTTTAAATTTATTTTTATACATTTCATAAATAAATATTCAACTTATAATAAATTTCACATATTTTAAATTAAATATTTTTGAAACATGAAAATAAAACTCATCATATTTAATTTTGATTCACATACAAGTAATCATATACATAAATCATATATATATATATATATATATATATATGGATTTGAAATAAATTTTGAAATTATAGTGTTGATTCAATTGATTATTTTATGCAAAAGTAAATTTTAACTTCATCAAAGTACATTGTTTTAGGCAAATTTAGCAATAAAATCTTACAAAAAGCAGAAAGAAATTATTAAAATTTTCAAGATGATTTGACTGTTTCGTTTTGATACATCTTGATATCAATAATTTTAATACATAACTTTGAATTTTTTTCATCACATTTGAATAATTATGATATTTTACATTTAGAATTTTGTCAATCATGTGTGAACTTGATATACAAGAAATGGGTCATTAAAATTAAATAATTTTATACTTAATTTTCATCTTGTTTTAATTTATTATTTTTTTGTAGGAATGTATGTGTGTAATATTAGCAAATGCTATACTACATTGTATCTCAAAATATCTTATAAGTTGAATGCATTTAACAAATCTGAGTAGATATTGGTATCTTGCTCCATACATAAGATGGAGCAAGTAAGTGAACACTATATTGCTAAAGGAGGTACCATAAACATAGTGTAAGGCTATAAACTTCAAGATTGAGGAATTGTTGTGCATTTGGTTGCAAATCTAATAAATAATAATGATAACATCAAAGTAAGATAATGTGCATCGTGCATCGAAACAAGTTGATATCCTATATTAAGTGGGCCATGAAAGTAAACTAGTATGATATAATCAGATGATTGATATAAATCTATCACAAATTCATTCGATGATGAAGTGATCACTGAATACAAGTTGAAGCCACATCTATCGGAGGAGTTAGAAGGTGACCTCCAGCAGCATTGAGTACAATTCTCACCGGATCCAAGGTACTAGGAACTCTGCTTTACAGGAACAGAGTCAATATAATGGAATTTTTGCTGCCAGAGTCGCACAACTTCTCAAAATGTCAGCCACAATAACTCAATGGACTTCTCTGAAATCACTTGCAAATAACGAAGCAGATAATGGAGGAAGAGCCAATCTAGTCCCGAGGACGAAGAGCAATAAAAAAATTCGCTGGATTCTCGGACACCGAAGAAGGATAGAAATAAGCTGTAGAATCTGGTGCGACTCAGGCCATTAATAAATCTACCGTCTGGACTCCTGGCAGCGGAAATGTACAGCCACTGGCATCTGGCAGTACAGCTCAGGACAGGGAACTTGAAGTCGACGGGGGAGACCGGCCCTACCGGTCATTCTCGGTCTCGATTTGGCCTGCTTCCCCGTCCTTGGTCGATGCAGTCGCTGCGGTGCTTGAAGGCGAGGGCGGAGCCGCGAGACCTTCATGACTGACAGACAGACTCCTCGAGGGTCGAGGGGCGCTGTCAATCTCGTTCTGAAATTCTCGTGGGACGGCGAGATCGTTTGACAGGAATTTGAGTATCGATCAAGAATTTGTTGAAGAGTTTTCACGGCGATCGATCGATCTTCGGTGGAGTTTTTCGCGAATGGAGAGCTTGGAGGAGTATCCGGTGGTGGATAAGGAGAGTCGGGAGAAGGGAGGGCGGAATGCGAGGAAGTTGAGGATTTTCGACGAGAAAATGCGGAACTTGTGCTGGCAAAAGGCGGACGTGGTTCCAGGGCGACACCCCGAGCGATGGCGGAAGGACGGTGCTGGCAACGTGGTCTGTCGCAGTTTGACCCGGTGCACGGGCTGCCTTTGCTATGAGTATGACCATATCCAGCCCTACTCTAAAGGTCTCTCCCTGATTTCCTTGCCGATGGTCATCACCCCGAGGACTCTCTTTGGGCTTGTCTCCGATGAAGTCTTTGCTTGCAGAAACCAGGCCTGAATCCAAGAAGCCTAGTCGCACTCCCAAAAGCATCGTGATCGTCATCGTGATCGTGTAGCTATTCTTGTTGGAATTGGAGCTTCGAGTTTCGACCCCGAGAACCTCTTTGCTGACAGCTTTCACCTAATCTGGAATCTTGCTGCAATCTGGAAGGCGGGGAGACTGATGTGAGCAACTGTCAAATTCTTCAGTCGCGTGTCAATCGATTGAAGAGCGACAAAGACGATCTCGGCAAGCAGGATTTACAGCAGTATTCCTGCAATATAAAGTTTGGAGGTGAGTGACAACGATCATCCGCCTGGTCACGGAACATTGTTGCATCTCCTTGATGTTCTGTCCAAGCGGTTTCCTTTCTCACGATTCCCATTTCGTACTCAAAGTTGCTGACAAGATGCAATCAAGGCCTCGGCTCTAGTACTGTGATCATTTTCGTGCTGTAATCTCTCGGGCATTGATATAGCCTGGGGAGGTCGTCTTCATAACCCGCATTCATTGCAATGAATGGACACTGTAATTGAAATCCTTCAAGATCCGTAGGACCTCAATTTATCATCGCACAGGGGACACAAGGTCGTTTCTTGGGCGTAGACTATGAATGTGCACGAGAATGATCGAAGTGGCCTTCGGTTTTGGCAGAGAAGGAGCTGGATCTCATAGAGATGGCTGTGTACGGCAACGTGGAACGCCCAGGAATGCAGTGCCGATGTAAGAGCGTGGCCGAAACCCTGGGGACATCGTTATCGAAAGCCAAAGGCCCTCAAATGTCATGTGAGCTGCCCTACAAGAGCACGAGCTAGCGCAGCGAGCTCGAGTTAGCAACGGATTTGGTCTGATGCACGAGACATTGGACTTCATCGTCATTCTGTCAGAGATTCGAAACCGCCGCTCGCCGAGATATTCTCTCTGCTGAAGAGTATGTTGTTACCACAGAGTTAAACCTCCCAATAATGACATATATTGGTACTTGGGTTTTACGTCAAGGTGTCGGTCACAAGAGTAAAGTGGGTATAACCTCCTAATAGTAACATACATTGGTGTTAACATTAAATGGTGTTAACATTAAATGTCATTGTTGGGAGGTGCATAATTTTAATTTAATCTCCTAATAGTAACATTAGGGTGTTGGGGTTAGATGTCAATATTGGGAGGTGCCAATTAACAAAATTAAAATTTCATAGAATTTTTATCTTGCATTGCATCAACCCTAAGATATTATATAAATTTGTTATTTGGTTTCAAAATGGCATTCATTTCCACATCTGTATGGTCAACATGGACATTATAATTACATTTAAATTTAGATTAATACACACACATCTGAGTGAAACAATTAATGATAATATATGTAGCAAATTATGGGTTTAGGGTTAAAACCTAAACCCTTAGTTAAATCTAGAAAGTGTGAATTGTTGAGATATAACTTTAAATATATTTATGACACATTTTTGTAATCTCATAACTATGTATTGTGATAATGATAGAAATTTTTATTTTGAAATTGTCACTATTGTATAATATCATGTCACTATTGGGAATAGTGACGTACCGTTATTATTGAACAGATTCACACGTTAGAAACTAATGGTTTTGGGATTTTATGTCACTAATGAGAGTATGTCACTCATAAGAGGTGACACTATGGGGAGGTTTAACTCTGTATATTGACACGATTTCAACATAATGCCGTATCCGAGATCGGGTCGAGAGCATTCCCCCGGGAATCCCCCGGGAATAGATAACTTACTTCCGGAACAGGGGGTGAAACAGGGGGACAACCGGAGGAATCCGCTGGTGCACTCTTGCTAAGAGGGGGCTACACCCGGAGGATTTTAAGGGTTAAACCCGGGGACACCCGTTGTAAATGTCATTTTATTGAAAAATTTTTGGGAGCATTCACACGAAAATAGCGGACTCAATAGCTTTCAATCCACTGGGAACACCCGGAAATTTTTTCCGAAAATATCCGGGCGACCCCGAGAAATCAAGAATGCTCTAGTCAGAACGTCGGGGCGTAGCCCCGGACGTTTTGTGGCGCATTTCCGGGGTCAGCCGGTGGTTCTGAGCCATGCCTGTCAAACCCTGGTCGAGAGACTGAAGTAGTCGGCCTGCATCTGTAGGAATCTTAGTTACGAACGGGAATATGTGTAAGTCGATCGGAGATGCACATATTCAGAGTGCCAAATCAGTGACTAGGGCCATTCCCCAGGAAGATTTATTTGAACATCATACGATGTCTGGTTTTGATCCATGATGTAGTTGCATGTCCATGAATCCACAGTTTCTATCAGCTCGGAAGGGTTGTAGACATCCGCCTAGTTGTTCTAGATGCATGGAATCATGTTGACTTCAGACAATTTTCGACATCTTTCTTTTACTGTGGAATAGGCCACGTACTTTAATTAGTACATGTAAAGTGATGAAAGTGTTGTAATATCTGGTCACTTGGGTACAATCCACGGGGTAACAGACACGCGTGATGGCAGATGTGTCCAGATTTTAGTTCGCAGTTATCATTGCACTCATATTTCAGGTGTAAAATCTCAATCATGGTTTTACTCCTTTTCAAGTGGACCGAGCAGCATCGGATGGACTTCAGAGTAACACGATGCATAAAATATTCATGGAGACAGACATGTTGGTTCGTCTGGACCTTTTTTATTTGACCATATGCGGTCAAATAAATTACTTTACATGGAATGCAGTTATCCCAGGGGTCAGTTACGAGGCTGCATTTTTCGTCCGTGAGACGATCGATGCACAGTATTGGATCTTCTATAGTGTTTTCTTCAAATATAATTTTTCTTCTCGTAATGTGACTCTTCCGCCCGTAAGTTGCCGATTTTGCACACTCCAGCGATCGCCATAGAAGACCAAACTCCTGGCGGCTGCAGAAAGAGTCAGACTTTAAATCTGCAAGAAACGGCAGATATGCAACAGGAGTCCAATGAGAGAGGAGTCCATAAGTGTGAAGGATGAGAAAATAAGATTATTTGCACGATTCGCTCTGAATAGATTAATAACTATCTTGACGAGTATCGAAGAAACGCAACAACATTCTAACATCGTTCTTTACGTACAAAGGAACAGCTTCCGTTTCTACCGTGTCTTCTCTTTAACGAGTGATGTATGGCCCTGCTTAATCCCGAAAACCACATTCAGTTGTCCTGACTCGCTGTAAATTTGCATCCAGTGTTTTCTTTCGATGACTTGGTATTGTCCCATTGATGTTCTCACCGTATGTAGGAAGTACAAATTTTTTAGCATCGTGACTTTCTACGCGTAGCATGAAAATATCAAGAATTGATCTACCTTACAGAATGATGATGAGGTCGAACGTGTTGGTGGATGTTGCTCAAATTTCAATCGGCTGGCAAGCACTGGAGAGAGTGGAAAGCTCTCAACTCACAAGAGCTAGGACAATGGCAATATCAATAACAGCGGTGTGAGATGGAAGTAGTGGAAGTGATCCTGAAGGATTCCCGTATCCCTATAACCATGCGAGCAAACGAAGAAAGATGAATCTTAAACTATACACACTTGCATAGCACACTCTGAGCTAAGAAACCAGAGTTCACAAAAGTCAAAACGTTTCCCAACGAAGACAAATCTCGATGAAGGGTGGGCTCCTCTTACCATGGACTTTTCCGAACCGAGACAAAGCGTGTATCTGTCCTTATGTAGGAAGAAACAGCAGAACTTCAGAAAGATGTAGTCAAAAGCAAGACACACTTTCATCCCAGAAGCATGTGAAGAGCATTCATATCACTTTCAGAAGACAGACTTTCAGATATTTGAAGTGGACCTACTGGTTGGAAACGAGAATGGCACTTACCATCTCATCCTCAGAGCCTCCACTCCACTCAATTTCCATCTCCATGTCATCTGTCATTGACTTTCCTTTCGAAATCTCCTTCCGTCGCACTTGTCCTGTTTTTAAGGTTTGGCTCTTTCCTCCCGACGCCAAAGTCACACGGTCGGTTTTGATGCCTGTAACATCCATATCCTTGCGCTTCTCAGTGCGCGCTGAATTCGTAAACTCTGCTTTTATACCTCCGAGATTCCTTCCTTTCTCAGCTAAGGGAACTCTGCGATGCACAAAGCTGACGAGATTTAGAGACAACAATCTAAGTTGCGACAAGAATTGTTTTCAGCAACTCTTGTAAAACACTAGACGTCCATGTGAAAGAACGGAAGCATCAGATCAGAAATCTTCCTCACTGACGTCTTGACTACTTCCACTCACCTTGAAATTTTCAATTTCTCTTCGACTTCTGTCGATTTTCTCTTTCCTGAATAGCATCGAAATTCATCAGTTTCGTCCACGAATGATTACTGTTCCAAAGCTCGTGTTAGACTACAAATATATAGACGAAGAACGTACAAAGCATGAAATATGAAGGGGAAAAAAAGGCATTCAAACACATAACAATAAGGACACCACTTAGAGACTCTAAACTGTCTGAAAGTCGACATAATCGTAATACTGCAGACGGCTCTTTGAACCTTCCACCAAATCCATCACAAACGATAGTATCAGAGATTGATTATTTAAAGTAACGTTAAAGAGTATTGTCAGATGCCTTTAAGTTTGAACTTACCAACAACTCTATCTGCCATATTTTCAAGAAATCTCTTGCCTTGAGAAAAGCTTTTGGTGGTAATTCTCTCGTCACTGCTTACCATACATCACAAAAAAATCAGCACGTACACACGTTAAGCAACTACGCAACCTCGTGTTACTTCTCCACATACACAAGGTCTTAGGAAGCAAATAAAAAGGATTAATCATAACTCTTGTTTTTAAAACCGATTTTGATACCTCAGCATTAATTTGAGCTGCGAAGTCGTGACAAGCTTTAAAGGCCGCGATGGGGTATTTTCCTTCTCAGGACTGTCAAGTGGCTTTCGTTTCATGTGGCCCCGTTCAAATCCAGGACCGATCATTGCCATCTTTCTGCGTTTAAAGAAACACGGACTCAGCACATACAACCAAATGCACCGAGGCCGTTCACTACAAAGGATACAGGATAAAAAACCAGAATTCTGGCGATACTAATCAGAACAGCCTCATATCTGTAATTCAAGGTAGTTCAGATTTGCTGCAAACGACAGGCCTAATCAGCGTCTACACATACCCGCCACTCAGTTCTGGCCTTTTGGTTTTGTATTTGTGCTGCTGTGCCTGCAGGTGAACATTTCAACCCGTCAATTCGTCTCATCAGAGATTTACGTGGCCACATATCAAAATTATGACTATGCACAACTTGGTACAAAATATCAGAAGGGAAAGCTTCTTACTCCAATATGATACTGGCAATATTGTCCATGCAAGCGTCTGCACACAAGAACGGTACATATCCACTTAAAAGTCAAACACTCATCTAAACAGACCATGTACAAGTCGGCCCACATGCACACGATTTTATTACACAAGAAAGGTAAATATTCTACCAATGATTAGAACACCTTCTATGTAGGGCAGATTCACGGAGTTTCTGACAGCAGTATCTCCAACTGAATTCTTTATGGGATTAGTAGCCGTGACTCAGAGAACATAAACATTTAAAACTCAGAAGACTGGTGCAAAAGAAGGGCATAAGATTATCCTCTTCCAAAGACTTGATAAAGTTGCACTTCGTGTCTTACTTATCTATGCCCACAGTACACCTAGTGCCATCCTTCCGAATTCCGCTGCAGATGGCGAAGTTTACTGAAGTGCCCAACATCAGAACTTGGTCACAGTTGAAGACACTGAGAGATGGTTCCTTGGTCTGAAAAATAGAGATGGTGTTAAACAGATAAACCATCAAGAGCTGGATTGTCGAAGACACAAAGGACAGTTCAAAAGAAAACGACGAAATTGCTCAGGAGGGATGCGCGCACCCACCTTAGGGTCTGTGCGAACGTTTGCGTTAAGAACAGCAAGAATAGATCCTGGCTGCTCTTTCCAGTGAGCTTTGTAGGCATCCCCAAAGAGGAAAAGTGAGATCACATTACTATCCAAAGTTCCCAACTTCCAAATCACGAAGTTCTTTCCTGTTGAACTTTGACGAGGCGGTCCTTTGTCGACTAAGATAGCAATAGTTGCCCACGAACCGGAAAATTTTCCACATTCATTCGCCATCCTGAAACAGGACAACAAAGAACCAATGGGCACACCTTATCATAAATTTACGCATTACAGATGGAGACTATGAAAATTTCCAGAGAAGGTCCTTGCTCGGATTCTCCTACTTCAAGCTCTGGATTAAGTGCTTTGTTGATCAAAACTGAGCAATATGTATACATTTGAGACAAGGTAGTTGACAGAGCCACACGTGTGCGGGGAGTACTTAGTCACATAATAGACAATCAACGATGAGTATGTAAAAACATCATGTAAGTACATGTTATTCTAGAACCCAGACATTAAAGCATTCGCATTGAAAAAAGGAATGCATTATGACGGCGAGAAAGGTGTCTAAGCCTGTAGATGGGATGAGAGAAAAGCAGAAGACAAGAGTAGCCAAAGAAAGAGATGAAGCAAATTCTAAAACATCCGTTTCGGTTTAGTAACAACACAGACGAAAAACGATCAATAGCAACACCAAGCATGTAAAGCAACTCTACCGATCATGTCATGCTAGTATACCCACGCTACTACCATATAATGACTGCTGAAATGACTTATTTTCCTTTACCTGTCGTACAACATTTATTTTTATGCAAGACAATAAGTCAAACATTTCTCTTCCTTCTCTTACCCCCGCGTCCCCTGCAAGATCTTCGTACTGATACATAACGAAGCATCTTCTGCAGTGGTCCTTCCTCTTCTTCTTACGAATAGCGTTTCCGGTCACGATCCAAGCACTTAGGACGCTTTAATACACTGTTATACGTTTATAATCATTAACTTGTGCACGTCACCTATATACAAAGTTCAAAAGAGTGTACACATTGACACTACCTTCTAAAAACCATGTCCAAATGAGAACTTCCTTGACTACTATTATGCCTGAGTTTCTGTCGATGTTTGGGGAAAACGTCACCCTCTGCTTACCAGTTCGATCATCATGAAACATGAATCGTCTTCCTCACGAGAGCCATCTAAAGTTGACAAATGAGCGTAAATCTACAAAGCGAATAACGAGACCGTGAAGGATACTGTGAGCTGAAGCCTACAAGGAAATTAAAGTCCTTCGAAAAAAACACAGAGGTTCATGATTATCTCCATTGTATAGAGTTTATTACAAGGTGGCCATGTTCAGAATAATTGAGAATTTTTTGGAGCTTAATCGCTTAGTGATAGAAGTTTCGAGGTAGTAAGAGATATCTTACTTTATAGCTGGGAGCCTCACGAATCGCAAGTCTTCAAGCTTGTTATACACCTCAGCAGGAGGAACTAATCGATCTCTGCCAATGCATGTAAAGGTGATCATTATGTATTCACTTTGTACAACGACTTCAAAAATATTCACAGAAAACTGGAGAACGTCGTGTCCCCACAAAGAATCACCACTTTATAGCTCGAATGTGAACAGACTTCTAAATAGAGGTAAGGCTCCGAGACCTACTTTATTTTCAGTCCAGAAAAGAACTCAATATCGATGCTGCTGATTGACAACCCTTGATGCGATGTCTGCTTTGGAGTAGCACTCGGGAGCTTATTGCCTTCCAGCTCAAGACTTCCTTTGAGAATGTCCTTGAATGCATCCATACTGACTGCGTGCTTGGTTTTCGGAGTTTCATCATCAGAACAGTAGTCTACACACGAATACTCATAACATCAGTCGAAGACTATTTGCTTTGTGAAGGACGTGCCCTGCTTATAAAAAGGAGACTACCTGGTAAAAACCAGTTACTTAGAGGTAGTACACGAGGAGACACTTTTATGTCAACTGGCTGAGAGAATAGATTGCGATCAATTCTGCAAAATGCCTAAGAACCTTCAGAGCTCATACTCGCCATTGGCAAAGGAACATTGCAGATTGAGGATCAGGCGGTTCATAACCGCTGGGTAGGCAGGTCGCATTCCTGATCTCATTGCGCTGTAGTGATAACTGGCATGATCATTGCTTCAGCTCTATATAGTAGCCAAGGAAATTTTGAATGTGCGAAAAGACAGGGAACAGAGAAAATACGAGACCTAGAGTACGGATGGGGCCAGTTGACAGAAGAGGTGAATGCGCCGTGACAACCGAGTGCCTGGCAGGTGCTCCGTTTGACTTAGCAGCAAAAGCAGACCTGATCTCTGCCATTCTGCTACTGAAAGACGAATTCTCAGCCTCGGATCCTGATGTTGTCGCGATTTTGCTGTAGAAACCACCTGCGACTTCTGCCCTCACTGCGAAATTCAAGGAATACAGAAGTCATTCAGTTAGATCACGAGCCGGCATACAGAAAAGGAAAAAAACAGCAGACTTTAAAATATGCATTTTGTAGTCTTTTTACAGTGAAACAAAAGAGAGAATCTTCATATGAGAACAGGTGGTGCATACTGAGAGTTCTACTTATGTCCATGTTTATTACACCACTTTCGCAGATCACCAAAATGATTCGGTTAACATGATCGACGGCAACTGAGACTGCCACTGTAAACGCCCCCTTTGAAATACTAATTCTCCCAACTTTTGAAGCTCCTATTATCACCCCGAATTGGCAAATTTCGAAGGAATGCCTCACAATATCAGCGATCCTCCTTGATTTTATTCGATCTAGTCGAACTAACAAGATAATAAACTAAGCATTCACGCCAATCCACTATTAGTTCATTTCGGCAAACCGGAGAAAGAGAGGATGAAACTCTTCAAAAACCGACTTACATCCTACAGCTGAAACAGCAGCTACTTGGAACAGTTCGAGCATTGACACTCGGAATTCGAAGACAACGGCCCAGTGGGCCAATTTGCTGGATCTCGGACTCCAATTACGGCGAAGCCAAGCGGAAATGCGATCCATGTGAGCTCTCAATGTTCAGAAATGCGAATCCACATCGTTCCTAAACTCACCGGAATTCGGATCGTGACGAGCAGGCGAAGAAGGTGGAGTCGCGTTGACGACGGCATTCTCGTCATCTTGCATCGACAGCAAGAGCTCCAGATCCTCATCGTCGCCGGCCATTTTACTGGACACCACTCGGAATGGATCGGCGTTGCGGTCACAGATTGCTCGAGGGAACGAGTGCTGCTACATCACGGATCTGCCACCATTCAAGACCTTCGGCAGCTCGCTTGTCGAAGTCGAGCAGCGTCGTCTGCAATTGCGCTCTTGTGTGAGAATTGTGCACCGACGCGCGGGAGATTTCAAATACGGGGACGGAGAATGTCGCCGGTCGGATGTACTGTCCACGTTCTTCTTTACTTCCTTCCGTCTTTCCACTGATGCCATTTGGCTCGTTCGACGCATCCGCATCTCATGCCAAAACAATTTATGGATCTCACAAACCACAACCCAAACATAATAAATTGAAGATCACCAAATCTGCACATGCGAATAACCTGAAATAGATTGTGCATTTGTGGTAGTAAATGCATCGCGAACAAACTCCTTCGTCACTTCATCCAACTCAATGGTAATAAAGGTATCATTTAAAAGCCTTGATTCCTCGTTGAGTATTTTTCACCCTGAATGAAAATTATTTGTAACATTCTCTAACATCAAATGATTCTTTGATATGAAAATATAGTTGTTTTTAATCTTGAGTTATTTATTTGATGTTATGCAATAGGAACCTAAACTGTTACGGGTATCCTTTAGTTTTAACTTATGGTACATCACGAACGCACACGTCGAGCATGTTCTAGTACTAACATACGTTGCATGCCATGTAGCATTGTCGCAACGTATTGGAGTTGTGTTGAGGTTCTCAACGTTGGACGTCTAGTGAGCTATGATGTACGAGGGCATTGGGTTGAATCTGGAAGCATGCAAGAACTCTGAAGAGATGCTTACTTTTACTGAAGTGTCTTTTGATATAGATGATATGACATTTGCAAAACGATGGATTAGTGTGTAAAAGAAGAAGTTAACTCGATTCGAGTATGATTCTTCAATCTCATCATATGTGCCTTGGGAGTGTGACTGGGATGCACGGCAATCACACGTCACGTTTAATGAACATTAAATTATTGAGCACTCATGCACATCTAACATTCAGTAGAGTATGTACTCGGAATCACAACATTTCTTAGCCACTCAAGTGCTCATATCGCAATGCTCTAGGGCCAAAATTCTGGACAAGAGTCTGGTCTTTGTGATTTCAATACGATCTACTCACTATCAAGATTTGGCAATGAGGATGACTAATTCACACATAATTTATTCTCTGCCTTCGTGGTAAAAATCATACTCTTCATCTAGTTTCACTTACTACATAAAGAAGATGTTTTACTGCAATTGAGTAGATGTATTGTAGATCAAATGCGAATGTGTTAGACTTTGGCACAAATACCATTATTCTGATTTCGTTAATCATTCTCTATTCATGGAGAAGTATACTGCATGTAAAGAATAATTTTTTATTTGAAAGCTCTAAAATGATTAGAGTCAATTGAAAGTTATCTTATCCAAGAGCCCATTGCGTAATCTTGAAGTGGACAAAAGTTGATTTGTCAAAATATTTAGTACAAAAATGTAACACTAGAGATAAGAGACAATTTCACTGGAAGATGAAAAAATAAACTCTAAATATTAGAAATACCAATAATGTTTTTTCTCTCCCGTATATAGTTCTTACCAACAAGTATAATGAGATAATATATTCTCTCCATCATCAATTTCACTCTTAGTGGATGGATCACAATGCGGATAAACCTAACAAGCACACAAATTGTTGACGTGCCGTTCTTAACTAACACACTCAATTTTCACCTAAAAAACACACAGATCCGTAACGTGATGTTGTCAAACTAACACACTTACTCTCTACCTACCGAGCACACGAATTGCTCAAGTGACAACTATGACTAATGCACACACAAAAAAAACTGTAACTTCATCTTCAGTAGTATATATTTTATTTATAACTAACTAAAGATTGTTACAACAAACACTTCAATTCTTGCTGTTCTCTATATTATGTCTCTAAGATCTTTCTTGTTGACAATGATTTTCAACACTTTCTACAAGCAAGTTTTTGCCAAATTTATTACCTCAAGAAAAGCTCATAAATACACTTATATTGAAACCCAACAAGATTATAGTGTTTTCTAACAGGAAGGTAATGTTTTGTTTGAAACTAGATTTTGATACAAATACGTTATATGTAACATCAAAGCAAATCAATTATAAATTAAGATGTTTGTTCGTGACTCACATTGTGGATTTTTTATCTCATACAATATTTCATTTAAATTGATTCACTGCATGCCATGTAGGTTCTTTATATTCAGGTGTTGATTATTTACATTTATTTTGCAGCGTGATAGGGCTCAAGCACATTCAAAAGGCTTGGAATTGATGCAAATTTGAAGCAACTTGCTCAACACTATGAAATTATTATCTACTCGGATCAACTCATCTTTGAAAAATCTGTTACTATCATTCACTTCAAAATGAGAGTCGTTTACCACACAACGTCTTCTTCACATACTAACCTTATTGATGAATTAAAAATTTGGTACATTGCATTTTTTAGTTCAATTAAGCAATTGAATGTGCAACCCACAACTTGATAATGTCATGGTCTTGTAAGCTTTTGAATTATCTATTTTTTGATTCGATTTAGTGTTACGTCTTTATCATAAATTTGATTATTTTTTTGGTTAGAACAAGTATGTGATATTGGTTAGCCTATAACTTGTTGAAAGCTAAGTTAAGCATACATGATTATAGTGTTGCTAGTTTAATTTTGTCATTATTATGTGACATATTTAGCACACAATTAGGATTTACAAATATTATTCTCTGTTACATTATATGAACAAAGTAAATTTTTGTTGAACAGTAATAGTATTTTTTTTGGTTGGGGTATTCTATATGATTCTTGATTCTTGTGAAGTGATTTAGCATTGTTGTGATTTTTCTTCCTTTATAGTAACTTCAAACTACATTATTGTGTACAAAAATAAATAGCTTTTGTAAATGCATCATTTGGAACTTTGAGTATCTTCACATAAATTTTTAATGTCAATGTAAAAGAGTAAATGACATCTATAAGTTTATATTTTTCCTGGTGTTTCTAGTACTTGGATCCTGTTTTTGATAGATTTGATCACAAAGAATGTATCAGATACAAACTTTTTTGTGATGCCATACAATATATTGATGAAAAACTTATACTATTGATTGGTTCTATTTAGCTTGATGTGCCATGAAATGCTTTTACTGCTTAATCATGTTGTTCCATATATGTACAACTCATGTTTTGCATTCATAGAACACTCACATTCATGTAGAAAGAAATCCAAGATCTTGAGTTGTATTTTGAGATGATCTTGGCTAAATAAAAGACTTATGTAATTCCGTAATATACAAATCAAACATAGCTTATCATGTGTGATCATAGAAACTTTGATATCATAAATCTTTGTGATCCAATCTTAAGGTCAATGGTGTGTTCAATCAGAAATATCATCCAAATATACACATTATCAGTTTTAGTGTACTCTTTGTGTATCATGCTCATTGAAGATTTGTATGTTTGTTTTTAGATTTTGCCCAAAATCATCATGCAAACATTCGAGCAATGTTGGCTTTGTATCTAGGCTGCAACATCCTTAGTGAGTTTTGTTTGAGATAGAAAGAGTTTCAAGGATAAGTTGTGACTTTCAATCCATATCAATTTAATGAATGCTAAATTGTAGAAGTCAAGTATTGTTTCATGTTTCTTTTCTCTAAGAATTAAATAAGTACTTGGAAATAGCTTTTAGTTCTTATGTCAGTCATGAGAATGTTCCTTTCAAGTACATGACAAAATAATTGAGTAGAAATATTGATGAGACTTCAATAAGAGTTATTGAAAATAAGTTTTTTGGCTTCATTTGAATTTCAAAACTTATGTTGTGTAGAGTTTTCAAGTTGAAGAGTATGTATGTAGACTATTTCCCAACATATTATCACAATGAACATGTAGTTATTAAGATTTTCAAAGCACAACAGACACCTCTTTCATCTTTCAACATCGATATTGGAAAATGGTTGAACAACAAACAAGTAAGATTGTTGATATGGATGGAAGAAGTCCAAATAGAGACCCAACTTATAAGATTGGGAGATCACTTTGACAATTTTGAGTAGTTTCATAGATGTCTTCATTTTTTAAGTGTTATAGAAATAAATTATATCATACGTTCAAGATCAAATTAAACTTTCTAGTGCGTGTTTTTCGATATGATTCAGTAAGGCAAAAGTTTTCATTTAGGAAGAAAATAATAACACCAATAAATACACTGAGAACGAAACAACTTCAGTTTCAGAAGTTATGAGTTCAACTACAATCAAAAATTCTTCCACGACTACTCCGACTACACGTGACAATGTACAAGCTACAAAAGCAACCGATAGAAAAATCAAACTAATTAAAATTGTGACAAACATCAAAGTTTTTTTTTGAAGTAACATAATTTGTTCAACTATGTAGCAAATTTATATTTCACTATCCATGTTTAATTGTGGAGCATACTTCATAATTAATACCAAGAAACTTAATCGCGTCACGATGTTGTATTTGAAAAAAAACTGCATCTTTTGTGATTGTAGCTTTTGTGAATTAGATCAATTACTAGAACGAGGATATGATTTCACAATTCCATGATTTTTTTAATTAAGCTGCCAACGCATTGCAAAAGAGTCATTTGTAATTACATTGTTGATTATTCAATACAAATGTCCGCAACACAAGAGTATATTGGAAAGTACTACACATGCTTTGCAATGACTTTGTGAGACGATAGGAAACATGATTATATGCCACATCCGTGTACCAGTTAGATTATTGATGAGTGTGTTCAAACCCAATTTTAAGTTTAACATAAGGTATCAATAGATATAACGGACTAAAAACTGCAACTTTTTATTCACATGATTCCAAACCTGTGTCAAAGATTCAGGAAGAATATCTATACAATGTAGTCAATTGGTCATAGTACTCCACTTCTACAATTTTTTAACGTGCATTGATATGACATTCAACGACACGTAGTGCAATGAAATATTGTTAGCCGCAAGTTAGCCTTGACGCATGACACACCATGAAGTTTCACTCTCAACTCTTCGTGGCCACTACTATCGACAAAAATAACAGAGTTGTGATTTTTTGTTTTGCGTTAGCACCTATTTTGCACTTTACTTCAGATTTCCATAATATGTATATGCAATTGAAACATTTCTTTGATTTTTGATAGGCACAAAGAACTTCTAGCTGAAATGAAAGATGTATTTGCAAGTTTCACAAATGTTCACAATGCTTTTCACCAAAAAAACAACATTAAATAGACTTTGGATAAATATTGTGTGAATTTATTTTGGGTTTTGATATATGCTAAGACGAAGATCCGGTTTGAATAACTGTTGAATTAAACAAGTCTTATCATGCAATTGAAAACTCTTGTTGGATGTTAGCCATGACCTTAGAGTTTCTTGAAGGTTACACTAACATCGGCCATGGTGTTCTGCCATTCCACTGTAGAACGGCCTACAACGTCTTACATAGTAATTAGTCTTAGTTTCGGTGCAATAATCAGCAATCAAATTGACTCATCTTCTAGAATCCACTGCTATACATCGTGTTGAGTGTAAGAAAAACTAATGCAATTTTAGTTAAGTCCAATATTCTTTGCATCGATAGAAATAATTGTGTTTTTGTCTCAACAACAAGTCTCCATTTACAACATTGAAATGTAATATAATATCAGTGTACAAGTTCAAACTAGTGCATATCATCTTCATGTTAATTCATTTTTTTCACTTGCACTTCAATCCAAATTTCCTTTCGATAGGAATGTAAAATAATAAGAAAACACAAACGGTATATGATATTGAAAGTCAATATAGAATAATAAGATATAATATTTATACCAACAAAGGCATAAACGTTACAAACAAGTACTAAGATTCACTTCAAATTCCCAAAGAAAAATATATGAAAAATTAATTATGAACTATTCTATGTAAATTCACAAATTTCCACTAAACGTCAATTTAAATTGTATCAAAATTAAAATTTTGGATTTTTTGATAGCAAAAAACTGTTTCAAAATAACTTATAATAAATTTTCAACTTTTATTTTATAGCAAACATATATTCAAAAATTATAAAAAAATTCTATATATATATATGAAATGTTTTAAAAAATTGTCATTAGTTTCACTTGTTGTGATTGAATCAAATTTTAGATAAAAAATATACCCAACATGATATTCATAACTCTTGATGTTTGTTTGTTTTTAAAACCACTTATCAAATAAACATATTATAAAATATGATATTTTGTATTGTAGACTATTTCATTCATTTTCAAACTATAAAATACATTTCATATATTTTTTCATTAATTTGACATATATTTCAGAAATGCTTATTAATTCATCTCTTTTTGTTTGATATTTGATGTCATTTTCATGTAATATACTAAAAATAGTTTCAAATTCAAGTTTATCTATAGTTTCAAGATTTAAATAGTGATGATATAGAATAACATCACAATGAAGTTATACATACAAAGTGAAAATGATAGTTGAATTTGGTGTTATTATTAAAAGCTATGAAACTTTATGCATCATTATGTAGATAATAATATTATCTATCATGTATTCAATGTTTTTAAAATTTGAAAAGTATAAAAGAAGAAAATGAAGGTTGATCACATCCAATATAATAAGGGATTTGCTAGGCACACACCCCCCCTCTTGTGCATACATCCACTCATCCACAAAGCACATTTCTGCGAAGGTGCACCTGACACAGAAGGTGCACTTCGTTTTGCAACTGCTTGTTTTTCGTTTCTTGGTCTCTTCTGTCAAATAGTCCCGGACGTTGCGGTAGTCACCAGCTTGTGCGCAGGCTAGCCATACTTTGCGCTTCTCGCCGCCCTTGTTGACCTTGGAGCGCATGCGACTCAAGCTGTACCCCTTCCTGTGAGCAAAGGCAAAGATCTCCGTCTCGGCTTCTTCCAACGACGCGATCCAGCGACGGTGGCTCTATCTTTAGTGATATGGTGCCTCTGCGAGTGAGACGGCTACTTCTGTCGATCTGAGTGTGCTATTAAGATCACGGGCGGTCATCCCTCTTTTGGGGGGGTGTGTGCCTAGCAATTCCCTATAATAAACTACAAATAGCATAATATACACTATAATATTTGTTGTTGAAACTTGTTGGAAGTTATATTTAATTATGTGAACTCGTACTTTATTATATGTGCATTAGTTTCATAGGGTTTAGCAAATGCAAACATCCATTTCTTTGCGTTTACTTATGTAAATATCCACTTGTTTGTAGTACCAAGATTACAAACAAATTGTACTTTAATCGGTGTAACATAAGCAAACTTAAACATCCACTTGATCACCATCAATTCATCCAATCATTATTGGCGTGAATTCTCATGATTGGCGTGAATTCTCGATCTTGACCTTAGTTTTTGATATTAAATATCTTTTTGGAATTCCAATGAAATCAGCTAGACAACCCACATAAAATATATGTAATATTGGAGTTCCACTCTTTGGGTACTTTGAAATCTCACCTTTATGGTAATCAATTTACTACATATTTTTTATTATACTATTAGACAATTAGATTTAGAAGTGTTGTATTATACCACATGTAGAATACCACAATTATATATACACATCCTTAGTTGGTACACCACTGTATGCATTTTTGTTGGTGTGCTGGTTTTATACGTCTAGGATTTTGCACCTGTTACACTTTTATAAATATTATATGTATCGCTGGCTCGGATTTCTCTTGGTGTTATTCTGGAGTCCATGGGTTTGGAGGTTAAGCAACGAAGGTGGACTTGCTGCAGGCGATCAGAAAGATAAAGTGCCCAAATCATCGAGGAGGATTATCTTGACGATGCCACATAGACCCATGCCACATAGACCCACGGATTCAGTCGGAGGATAATTGCACGATGATGTAGGTACCCCAATCGACACCAAGTATCATTCCCAATCAATTACATCCTCATGTCAAGTATTTCCGACGATCTGCGATCTGCAAGTAGTATTTGTGTTATCTTCTGGTGCATGGGTCGTAGTAGGTTGCGGGTTTTATTCGATCCGAGATTAACCGGCTGGCCTTATAATAAACACTCCAGCCGGTTAGTTATCGAGCTAATTATGAGGCCAAGGTCCTTTCTCCTTATCACTGCTCGTCCGTGCAGTGTCTCTCTAATCGATCGATACACACATAACATCGGGATATTACGAACCTTTAATGGGGGGAACAAGTGCAAGGAAGGCAAGAAACGGTGGAAAGTGTAGCACGGGCATGGCAAGAAACAAAGGGCGGAGATTTGGGAGAAAAGTAGCGGAATGGAAGCAAAACTCCGAGACAAGATCGGGTGCGCCTCGGAGAGAGGGAGACAGAGGAGCAAAGGTGGGAAGGGAGATATGGGTCGTCTGGGACCGGAGAAGAGCCGAAGAAGGAGGAGGGAGCGCCAGAGAAGAGAGGCTATTGTGGAAGACTCTCCGAGACGCTCACGCATCCGTCACCGAGACAGCGAGAGGTGGGAAGGTGGGTGGAAGAGGTTGTACTTGTGCGCCTGTGCGTCGCAGTGCGGAATGTGTTTGCGCGCGTGAACGTGATGAAGATCGGGAGAAGCAGAGGCAGAGGGCCAGAGGGGCCAGAGGGCCAGACCCGATTCCGTCGTAGGATTGCGTTCGTCCAACGTGTTCCGAGCGGCCCCGTCCGGCCCGCCTGCCGAAGAGCCTTCTGTTTAGGGCGAGGGAGGCGGTACGAGGGAGGGAGGGAGGGATGGGCGAGAAGGGGAGAGGGGGTCGCTGTTTTAACTTATCGGATCGTTGCTGTGGCCGAGGGACGGGAGGGGAGGGATGACTCGACAGTTACGACGGGGACAAAAGGCTGGACTGTTAAGGCCTGATGGTTTTTAGTCTGAAACTAGCAGTCCGTTAGGGTTTGGGAGAGAATTGCCGAGGCGAGCTTGGCAGTTCTGCTCTCGAGAGACGAGAGGGGAGGAGGGGGGAGGGGAGGGCAGGGTTGGAGAGGAGAGGGGAGGGAAGGGTTCATCATTTCGGGAATTAGGCAAAGGGGGGGGGGGGGCTCGAGGTGTAGCAATTGCTTTCGTTAGGTTGACAGTTACAAACTGCGGGTGAGTACGAAACTTTTGTCAGGTGTTGAGGTTGAGATTGAGGTTGGCATTCTGTGGCTTGATTGCAGTAGGAGTCGTTCTTCGCGTCGATGAGGGTTTTGTGCAGGGCTTGGGGTTGCTAGAGTTGTCGCATGCCGGCCGCGTTGTTCGTGTTCACCTCACCAACTCGATTGTTCTGAGAGGCAACTGAATAGACAGACGAGCCGCATCGTTAGGTAGACCGCACTCTCGAATGCGACTTGCGGTTCTTCTTACACTGAGCTGTCTATTCATCTGCTTCTCTGTACAGGGTTTTTTCCGCGGAGTCGTTGGGTCTGGTCTGTGAGATGATTATGTGACCCCAGCGCCGTGCTGCCACGAGCTCTGGCTGCGTAGACGCGACACAGCTGCGCTCCATCGGACCCTTGCTTTGCTTTGTTTTCTGGTTGGGCGTTGGCAGTTACAGGGTTTCTGCGGCGAGGGGTTTACGGTTCCGCGTGCAACATCCGAGCGAGGATACAGTTTGATGGTTACCGTTGCCGGACAGGTCGCCAGGAATTCTTAACTCGCGAACGAGTCGAGGACTGGAGTCCGAGGAGTCTGTCAGTCAGTCCGTCGGTCAGTCCGCCCGTCTCTAGGTGTAGGACAGGACAGAACGCAGGAACGCCATGAGGCAGATGCACCGAGGCTCTGATTGATGCCCGGCCATTTTGAGGGGAATCTGCTCTCCGTCTCGTCCAGTCAGGAGGACCAATTTTCGCATTCGTTAGAGATTCCAGCTCCGGGCCGAGCCATGATGGGTATGAAGAAGCAAGAGAGGAGAAAAGGCTCCGTAATGCACAAGAGCCAGCTCCAGGAGTACGCACAGAAGGCTGCCATCCTCCCTCCCGTGTACGAATTCGTGAAAGAGGGGGCTTCTCACGAGCCTCGGTTCAAGTGCATCGTGATTCTCAACGGCGTGAGCTACGAGTCGCCCCCGGGGTTTCCAAACCTGAAGTCCGCAGAGCACGCGGCCGCCAAGGTCGCGCTGGATGCTCTGCAGCAGACGACCGATGGGACGGGGGTTTCTCCGAGTCCTGTGCATGAATCGGGCCTGTGCAAAAACTTACTGCAGGAGTATGCGCAGAAAAATAGCTTACCGCTGCCTGTGTACCAATCGACCAGGGCAGGCGAAGATCATGCGCCTACTTTCACTTCGAGTGTGGAGATTGCCGGGGTAAAATACAGCGGTGGCTCGGCTAAAAACAAGAAGGAAGCTGAGATCAAAGCTGCGAAGACTGCACTGCTTGCAATCCAGTCCGCATTAGCTTCAACGGTAGAAGCTGAAGTTCCTGTTGTATCTCCTGCTAAACCTCAAGTGGGTCTCTCGACTTTTATTGACTCTCAGATAAACAATACCGGCCGAAAGCGAGGACGAGGAGCTCAAGCTTCAGCCGAGGATAACACGGCCCGTCGTTTGAAGATGGAGGAAACGCCCGCCGGGGTCAAGACTTCCTCGGAAACCCCGGTTCTCGCCACCCCTGCAAAGATGGAAACGGACGATTCTGCGCAAGTGATCGCTTCCACGACGAAGGTAGGTTACTTTCTCTGTTTGAAGTGGCCGGGTGTTGCTGTGTGTAGACAGCGAAGGGAAGTTTGATGCCTGCGATTCCGTGCTGCATTTGGTGGGCTGGCGTTGACAGGACAGAGAGCTGCAGGGATAGCATCTCGAGTGTCTTCGTGAGGACTTGATCATTCTAACACAACTACTATTGTACAATGTTTTTGCTTACCTCCATTTGTTATTGTTCCACAGCCGATGAAGTCCGCGAAGAAGAAAGCAGAGAGAGCTCTTCTAAAGGAAGCAGCAGCGCTGGAAGCGACCAACAAGGAAGCCGAATCTGGCGGAAAAGCTTCAGCTGCCACTCTGGTGACGAAAAGTGTGGCCATAGCAGATTTGCTTGCCACTCCTACAGCTCAAAAGATTCTCGGTGTACTTTAGAAATTGGAACATGAACTGATTGGTCAACGTCCCTTCTAGAAGTTCGTGTCGCATGTAGATGGAATGGAGTGCTTACAACCAACCGGGTCCTCACGATCGATTGATTGCGAGTTCCCCGCGAGTGGTGTGGAGTTTCTGGTGTCTATCAAGAACCGAAAAGAGGAGTCCACACTCGATACAATCATGCTTGAGACTGGACAGAATGTTCCAGTAATTGGATCTCGTCGACTTATCGTCACAGATTACCGTATTCTGTCCATTTACGCAACTGCCAGGAGCGAAGGTCCAGGTTGTCCATAATGACTCATGCTAAGCTCTTAGTGATCAGTTTGTGACAGTGTCTGCTGATTCTGATCGGCCTCGAAAATTTTGCCGCCCTAGATCTCTTGTAGGCTGCATTGGACGGCAGTGCATTTGCAAGGGTTAGAGTTAGTTGAAAGTGTTTTACGAAACCTCTGTGTAAACATCTATTTAGTTATACTTCGTACGTCGAGAGTGGGTACATATAATCTTAAACTGTCTACCGCACCATGTGTACTTCTCTGGTATGTCTTTGAGTGGCAGTAAAGGTAGTTGAGCTTTCAGCTGACAAGGATGTCCCACTTGACTCGCGCACAATCAGTCAAAATGGCCGGAAAGTCTTGGATTGGAATTCACCAAATGTGCGTATCCGCACTTTACGCGTTCTGTAACATTTTACTTTTAAAACTAAAGACTGTTACTAACTCATGAGATGGAATAACACACTCAATGCAAATTTGATAAGTAGGTTGACCAATCACAGAACTCTATTCAGGAGGGTGACCAAATACAGAGCTTTGTTTTGTAATGTGACGGATAATTACCTCAAACTGAGGGATAACTAGCCCTCCCTATACATCCCTTTGATGTACCAGGAAAAGCGTAGGACTTGGCTTACATATACTTTGAAAAAAGTATGTACAATTAATCCACACATTTCATCGCGACACCAAACTCGAGACCTATACAATGCTAATATTTCCACACACTCCGGTGAGTGTGCTTCTGTCGGAGTTCAGTGATGAAGTTGTACCCACCGATGTGCACCGATGTGCAGATTACCTACTTCCACATTTCCGTTTACTTGCCACTGGCCTACACAATCTTCAATAGCCGAAGAAGCACGTACAACACATAGATGCACGCACGTAAGCACGTACAACATGGTAACAAGGTGACCTAATCTCCTGTGGGAGCGACGTCCTACCAATCCATATCACAATGGTAGAAATCTGAAGTATCTTCGAATGCCGTCCCAACCAGAAAATTCACAACGATGGAAACAAGGAAATTCTTACTTCACACAGCGGTGTGTCAAGAATTGGAGAGGAAGTACACCTTTGCATGTCAAATTATTACAATGAACAAAGGAAGCTTCACTGGCTTCGAAAGTAATGTCGACCAAAAGGGGGAGGGAGTGTTACACCGGCCCGAATTGCAGCACTGAGAAGGTCAGCAGCGCTGACATCCTGTGCAGGTCTACGATCTGGCCTTTGTTTCACGACATCCATCACAGTGGCCGGGACGCGAAGAGTATGTTCATCACCTCTGGCACGTTTCCGCGACTCATTTCCAGTAGCGTTCTCCGCAGCAAGTCTTCTAAGGTTCCTCAACTTTTCTTGAACCGCCTCGGAGGGCATGGGAGCCTCGACTCTTTGCTCGCCTTTTGAATCAGATGAAGCACACGGAAAAGAAGCTGCGTTCGAAGTTTTACCTGATGAGACACGCGCGGAGTCCCGTGAATTAGCCTGTGGATGAAGCCCATCCGTATTTTGATTCGCCGTGGCAGAGGTCCCCGCGCAGACTCGTCCATTGTCGAGACATATTGCCTTGGCCGAGGAAAGTTGGAGCTCCGAGGATTTCCCAACTATTTTCCTGGCTGGAGAGGAGTCCGTAGTATTCGGGGTGACTTGAGCGCGTTCTGAATGCGCAGGCGGACAACTAGGGGCTTCATCTTCAGATGCAGAAGCTGGAGGCAATAGCTGGCCCCAAGAATCCACCTTCTCATCCACTTCCCGCATTGAACCTTCAAGATCAGTCTGACGGCCGTGAGGCTCAGCGATCACGGATGCTTGAGCACTGCTGGCAACGGCAGGCATTTGCTTGTCTTCAGGAGGTTCCTCTGCGACGCCGTATTCAGCATCCACAATGCTTACTACCTTGACAGCGGAATTCTGTTGATCACTCTCAGGGGACGTAAGGTCACCTGGACGAGAAAAACCCCACGATTGTCTCCTTTTCGGACTTGCGGACCTATCACTGTCAAAGGGCTCATGGTAGCTCTCTAATTCGACCGCGGCCCTACTGGAAGCTACGGGAGTCTGGACTGGAGAAGCCCACTCCACAGCCTTCTGTGAAAGATCGTGATCATCCGACGAAGAGGAACCTGTGACATCGAAAATTCTCTGTTGAGAGCTTTGGCTTGGACTCGGCAGGCTCGGAGAATCATCGATAGTCCCGCCGATTTCTTCCCAGCCCGGAATAGAGCTGAGTATCTCCTCTTGGGACGCGGAAATGCACACATTCGGCAGCAGATAATCAAGCACATACTCTCGAGACATCCCCGTTGGATTCTTCGGAACGCCGACCACTGCACCTAATTCTCGCACTCCATCATCAGACGAACTTGCCCTGTTCACCGTAAGCCGTGCGCTTATCTCACCTCTCGTCGGCGGCAGAACGCGAGGACAGTCGTCACAATTCCAACGCCCGAAGTCGAGGTCCCGCTCCTCAATCGCTCGATGCAGTTCTTGATTCCGACAACGACTATGGTTCCGTCACATGCGCTTCCGGGCGGTTCCCGTGGAGGAGAACAAATCACGGGGCTTTGAATTTAGGATACATTGCGCTGACTCAGCTGTCGCGAACGCTCCCTGATTTGAAAACAATCGGACAGCGCCCCGCGCCTCGGACGCGCCTCGGACGTTGCAACGTTGCAGATTACGAGGCTGTTGGACATGCTGTCGCCCTCAGCTTGCACAGGCACCGGGACAGGGACAGGACTCTCTTCCTGCGGGCAACTGCAACTTCTCCTCCTGCGCAATGTCAGTCAGCATTCGTCGTCGTCCGGACGAAGCGCGCCAGGCGCTTGCTTCCTGCACGGCTGCCCCGTCTCCTCGATTGTCCTCTCGAAGGCCACGACTCTGAGAACTGCTGCTGTCTGCGTGTGCCTCTTTCTCTTCCTCTCCCTCTTCGTCGATGTGATCTGCGCGGCTGCTACATACGCTTCAGAGTTCTGCCCCGGCATTCCCGCTATCTCGAATGAAAGTAACCGCCTGATGCTGACAGACGCTTTTCGTTGTTGGCCGTCGACATCGTTGCCATCATTGTGTGTGCTATTGGGGCGTGGTGTCGGCGCTTTTCTTCTTCCAAATTGTTGTTGTTGGAGGCGTGTGTACTTTATACTCTACCAATACACATGAGTTACAATCATGGCGACTTTCCATGCGCCTCTCCTCACTATTCAGTTTAGAGCATACGCCCATTGTGGATGACAGACAGGGTCATGATTCGATAGTTGAAGCACGCTACAAAACATTTGCCTTCAGCTCGACTCGTGATGTTCCCTCAGTCAACCAAAAGCGTTCAGTTTTGCGTAAAGGTTGGCTTTTTTTCCCGTTTAGGTTTATCCAAATTCTGACACGCTACCTACGACTCACGATGGCCTACGTCCATCCCCGTTACAGACAGTATTGAGGACAGTTGGCGAAATGTGCTTGGACAGTCCGGCTATAAAACTAGAACTTTGGATACAGAAAGTCAGATTTCTCTAAATAATTAAAACTAGGTTGCAATTCATCGTGGATATTTATACAGTTCATGATTTTTTACATATTTAAACTACGGGCGACGTCGGTCAATTCCAAGTGACTTTATCAAGACCAATTCTTTATACCCGTCGTCTATTCGTGACAGCAACGTCGTACTGCAAGAACAGAGAACATGGTCTGTACGCAATTCTCACAACGATCGAAAGATGCAGTTGGAAATCCATGTGACTACTAGTCACTACGCGTATTCAAAACACATTATATAACCGCTGCAATGAGCCTGAAATGAGAAAGTCATCTGACACCCAGATTCAACAATGGCCTTGACGAAAGAGTTTCTTACAGAACATACTTACATAAGAATGGTACAATAATGCTTATCAAGTTAATAGAGTCAAGAACTCCCAAAGCATATAATGTGCTGTCTACTTGACACCTGAGATGTATTTGCCAACGCTTAAAGGCCGTGTAGACAGTCTGAAGTCCGTCTATCGTTCTCGAAAGGCCCCTGTGAAGATGTCGCCCACTGTAGAGCAGTATATAAGTGAGAGGGCTTAGGCCTCCTGCAGCTGAGTAACCTTAGTGATGTAGTCCTTCATGGCCTCTTCCTTCGTCTTGCCTGGTAAAAGGGAGCACTTACATTTGTTGAGCTAGTTGAACTCAAAGTTGCGTTCGATCGATCCATTAGAGATTAGAGATCTAAACTTCCCAGTACATCTTAGCTCGGTGAAACACTCAATGAACTGAACAGCAGGCTTCGAATTCCGACAGAAAGCAAATTCTCACCTTCGACGGCCTTCCAGGCATCCCACTTGTACTTGCCCTTCGGGTCGAACATACCAGGACGACCTGGTGATTACATGGAGAGGCATAGATTAGCTCCTGAGACTGTAGCACAGGCACTGGATCTCACGCGCATAATCCTACCGGAAGATAGTGAGCAAATTACGTCCTACGATACTTACTGGTGTTCACTTTCCCAACGGTGGCCGTCTTGAACAGACCGTACAGAACGAGCTTGTCCTCGTCTGTGGTCGTGGCTGGCAAAGTCAAAGCGTCCTTGGTCGCCTTCTCAAAATCCTCCTGCGACAGATAAAACGTTTTATGTAAGGTCGCAAAAGAACAAATCAAAACTACAGCGACTATGTCTAAAAGACAGTTGATCCTTGGGTATGGACACTTGCACACCTCACATTGAAACATGTAGCAATTTCCTCTCGACTGGTTAAGGCACGCACAAGACGTGAATTGAGAAGAAGATTGATGTTCGTGGATTCAGATGGTGGTATATGGAGTCACTAAGAGTGAATGGTTAAAAGATAGGGACATTTCGATCGTCCGACTCGGCCAAAGTTTTCGAGTGATAGCTACACGGATCCTCAATTCTGTCATCTTTATCACCACAACGAGGACGAAGTGGAATAGTCAAAGTGCTGATCCGCTGACTGGTGGAGTCGGCGGATACATGAGACAGATCCAGCCGGACTCACTCCAGCCGGACATACTTGCGGAGATCGTTGTTTCATGTTACCACGCTGGCAAGGCCTGCAGCGATGCACACGAGAATACTGAACCCAGTCTCTGGTTTGTGAATGCGTAGAAGCCCGTGATGCAGGAAACTAGGATGTTTGGCCAGGATAAGGCCAAACACAGATCAGGTTGAATACAAGCACCGCAACTCCAAGCACATCAAATCACAATCACTGCTTAACTGAACTTGACTCATTGGAGGGGCCGGTCAGCGTAAGCAGCACGCAACTCGGGACTTCAAGAACCAAGCACCAATCCGCAGGATTTCCTCACGAGAAGCTCAGGCCAACGAGAGATGCAGTGCGCTTCCGAAATCGCACAGTCAGCATTTGGTTCACAATCTACGTGGAGAGAAGCAGCGACTAATTCCGAGCGGATGACATAACACATAGTGAGATCGGTCCCAAGAACAAGTGAGCACACAAGGTCTTTGAACATCGACCGACGAAAATTCCAGAAAAAAAAAGCTCCAAAATTCTTCTAATCTTGGCCTGAATCTACAGAAAAAATAATCGACCGAAACAGAGGTGTGTCACGAAAAGCAGAGCTACCCTTGCAACCTCAACCCTACTCACGGATCATCGAAGCCGCAACACGAGCGCAAGAAAAATCTCCGAAAACAACAATACACCTCCGGTCCTCAAAACAGCGTAAGTGTCAGAAACAGCAGCGGACAGGCTCGCAGAAATAGGAGGCAGGCAGAGGCGACGAAGCAATTACCTCCAAACCCATAGTTGAGAGCGTTCCTGGACGCAAAAAAAGAACGCAAGATGCGAAAGGGAGACGAGGAGTGCCCGTAGACTCTCGGAATTCGGATCGATCAAAGCAAGTGCTCAGGTGCCAGTCGACCTGCGCCAATTTAAAGACCTACGGGCTGAGGCCTGCAGCGCTCGACCCGCTGCACCATCTGTCAATCTTCCGCAGTGAGAATCGACGGTGGTCGTCGATCGCCACGATGCCCCACTCTTAATGTTCGTCCTCGATTGTGACGCCGTCCGTCCATCGAAGTCGCTGGCTCAATGAAAGCTCGCAAATTCTCTCTGCTTGCGTACATGCCCGCTCTTCCCCTCTCGGCGACATGCAAAGCCTGCGGTCCACATGAAGTCACTATTGGCACTTAAGAGTTTATAAATAGCATAATTTAGACTATATTAATACTAAATAATTTAGTTTTAAACATAACTTCAAGACCTACCAAATTGAATAGTTATAGTGAATTATTGAAAAAACACTATTAATGAAAATTTTCTGTTAACTTTGAATATACAACTTCAATATGTATAAAAGTCAGTCTGCAGCATTTCTTGGGAGCAAGTAAATCCAGTACATATGGCAATATAATGAGAGGTATTATTTTAAATTTCTCATAGTATGGAGATGATGTGTATCATCTTCTTACGAGTTATTTACTCGTAAGACATACAAACTGCTTGATGGTACATAACAAGTTTCGTTATATCCGATAAAATCCCACCAACGTAGCACCTTGGGTTCGATGAATTCTAATATATGTTCTTGTAAAATATGTGTAGGTTCCCCATGGCCGAGTCCAAGGTATGATAACAGCCAAGCAAAAGAGGGCACTGTTGCTCGTTAATGTCCAATGACAAAGCGGACAGATGATCTTGGAATTCGAGTTCGATGCCCAAAAGCTATCTCGAGAGTAATCCTAAGTAGTCTATTTTTTAAAGCAAATGCGACTGCTAGGCGAGGATTTGCGTTTGCTTCAACGATATTCCAGGTTTTTGTGATTGATGCTGCGGGGTGCAGCTAGTGTGTATCTGTCGAACATCAAAGTCCATATTACAGAGCGTCTAACATAAAGTGTCGCGAGCTTCACTGGGTTGCGATGGAGCAACTACACTGTCTGTTCATATTAGAATATGTGTGACATGTACCGTCGGGTAAAATAAAATTTGATGGATCCCATCAAGTAGTTTACGTTCCTATGGTCCAATCAATTAAATACCTCTATTTTCCAATTGTAATGTAAGAAACAATATGTAGAATGTACGGGTGAAACTTACACATTCTATTTCAAGAATATACTCCACAAGTGCAGTGTGCTATCTTTCTTAGATGAAGAAGAAAGCTTTGTTCACAAAATATAGAATAAGTCTATATATGAGGTATCTAATGCTTTTTATATGATACATACAAATGTATCATTACAAATATTTCTATTGCAAGAATATTTTTTTTTCACATAGTAAAGCCATTAAACCAGAAAAATATATGTGAAGAATTCCAAAATTACACTCACATTCTCATCAAACATTACAAAATATATATCATTATCACATCAAATACACTATGCTTCAAAAGTATCTAAATCTGTGCAATGATTATTGCTCAAAATCAAAGTATGAGTATCAATAACCTCCATTGTAAAATCATGAATTGAATTCTTTCATGTACATTTTTTTCCAAAAATATCAATGCTCATTGCAAGTTCAATTGTCGAGTACATTTTGTAAGGACTTATAATAATGTTGAAAGATGTTACAAACGTACATAACAAGTTGCTTGTATGCAAATTACAAACAATTGTGTTATGATGTTGCATAATTGAAAGTATGTCTGCAAGGGTTATTCATATTGTGTAACAATCTCATATGCTATCTTATTGACTATATCATATTTATAATATCATAGATACAAGGTTAATTATTTGTACATCAAGGTTAATTTTTTTTCTCTCCCTGAACTATTAAGGATATTATATATCTAAGTGATATTTTCCTCTTTTTATATATATATATATATATTATTTTTATTCAATATTTTCATAAATAATCATTGTAGATTTTTAAAAAATATGCAGAAATCAAATTTCATATACTTATAAACCTATACAACTAATTGACATCATTAAATATGTGTAAAAGGTCTTAGGTGTGGAGAGTTAGAGTATGGAGTTGGAGTATGGAGTCTCCATACTCAAGAGTATGGAGAGTTTTGATCTCAAAAGCTTTGAGCAATCAACATCACACTCAAAGAAATGTGATGTATACTATACACTACTATACACATATAGAATCTTTTTTACATCTTTGCAACCTCATAAAATCATCAAATTGGTAATTTTTATAGTATGAACTCTTTTAAATCTATACAAGGATGTTAGCAAAGTGCAAATCATTTTCCATAAACTTTATCACAAAAATCATCTCATCTAACTTAAGTTAAAAAATATAACAACATCCACTTAACTAAAAAAAATTCAAACGAAATCATCACTACACACAGTAAACAACTAGTAACATACTTAGCAACTAAAAAATAGATCGCGTTTGAATCTACATCTTTCTTGTGTCTGAATACTTCGGCCGTCAACCTATTTTTATAGATCTTTTGTATTCAGTTGATGGACTAAGAAGACTTTTCTACTTTGAAAGTTATACCAACTTTCTAGTTTTGTTCTGTTCAAGTATTAATCATTGATTGCATTCACTGAAAACTATCAAATCATGAAACTCATCTCATGAAAAAAAATCATTTCGTTTCAAGATCAAAATCTTATTATCAAAGTAGAGATAATTATATCCAAACTTCCATTTTTATTTTGTATACATACAAAAATAGAGCATTCAGTTTTTCTTGACATTTTTGCCATCTGTTCATGCTCTTGAACTTTCTCATTCAAGCAAGGTGCTTCACCAAATCAAGGAATTGCTTGTGTCTAATTATGAAAAACATCAAATTTGATTTCTTTTTTAAAGATATGCTATAAAGAGCAGAAAATGTTATAACAAGAGTTATAACGGAGAGCACAACATGAAGATGCCTCCAACAGTTGAATGACTGAAGCCTTCCATTGACTGATTAGAACCTACACTGAATGCCTTCCACGTCTGAGACCTCGTACGCGTTTCCAACAGCGGCGAGTGCCACAGAATATTCTCAAAGTATCGCAAAACGAAGAGGAGGAGAAGTTCATCCTTCACTCTGACATAAGAGACTGATCTTGAACTCGCTTAACCATCTCTTCAAGGGAAGGCGACACTTGGAGGGTTTAATGGGTTTGAGCTAGCACGTGTATGAGTATTATTGCACCTTACCCTCTAAGAAGTCTCAGATAGAATATAAAGTTGACTGTTGGCTAGACTATTCAACGAAGTTTGACTTGTCTCATGTCAGAAAGATGAAGATGCTTGTTACTACAGTACTTGAACAGTGCTTGTTACTACTGTACTTGAACAGCGCTATCGATAATTTCAACTTGATTTTCAGCAGGAAAATGTATGGCCAAATAATAAAGTCTTGGTGACTTTACTGGCCGAGCCACGACCCACCTCTGATGGGCTAAATTTGTCCATAAGTGAACTAAAGCTAAGCGGAAAGAAGTGAGCCTACTGGATATGATAAACTTTGCCAAGAGCCCATCAAATTTTGCAAGAATGAAATTGCTCGTAAAACGGAGGCTAGCGCCAACACTACCCATTGAGAAATACATCCTACGTAGCCTAACCGAGTACATAAGAATCTAGTCTACAAGAATATCACCTGGTTACATGCAAGGGATAATTCCGAATGTGCAATGATCCATGGCCCACCTTGAGAAAAGAAGGTAGGACCTTGAAAGGCATGTGTGGGGTCAAACTATTTTAATATGATGACTGTGAGTGTTTCGCATCGACGTCAATGCGAGACGTTTGAAAGTACTTTGCAGATAAACATGGCATTAGAAAAGGCCGGTTGTACTGAAAGCCAATCCTCTTTAAAGCGTTTCTTTCCTTTGCTCCATTGCTCGGATCCTTGTTTACTTTTAACCCGTTGCTTGCTTCTTCTCCACTGCGCACTATAAGATGACGGAGAATTTTGAATTGGGTCATGAAGTGGTAAAAGATGATCTGACCACGAATTCCAGTCTGGATCCAAGTACCTTACATCTTTGCTCTTATGCCACCGTCGCTTCATCTGAAAAAATATATTTTACAAGTATTTCAAACCATAATGATCTCTAAACTTTAGCCATGATGATACGTGCTGGGAAACTCCGTCAGGGGTGTCTCACGTGGAGATGGGTATTTTATCATCTTCTTCAAATGAAGTATTGTTCGAAATGGGCATCCTTATTTGACTAATAGCGTCTTGCGGAGCAGCGTCTTTCGTATTCAATTTCCCCAGGCCATCCTTTCTAGCTCAAAACGAGCTCAAAACGCAGCTCCCTTGCCTGAAAGCTACACGTGCTGCGGTTGATGTACTTGATTGATGATTCGAGAGGAAGATGGAAAGCCTCCATCTAAATCTGTGGAAATTGAACTTCTTTCTACGCGAAAAATTAAACAACTTCCGTGTTAATGAAACCAAAGTGGGAGGCTCAGGGGTTCCATATGAAGAGAGCTGTGCATGTTTTTCAGCGGAGAACAAGTCCAACTGGAGATGTAAGTACTGGTTGAACGTGCCAAGAGTTCGGTCGCGTCTGTAATTTCACTTTATCAAGAAAGATTATCAGTAAAACAAAGAGCGTTAGAGACCAAGCAATTACGATAAGTTTCCCCAGAGCTCAGTGTTGGGATGCCAGCGTCGTGGAAAAAAGACAATACCATGAGCATAGGTAGACATCAACACACTTGATCGGCCAGCATTTCCAAATTAGGCAACTTTCTGCTCTGAAACTCTTTAAACGCGAATTCACGAGCAATAAAAATAAGTGTACAAAGAGAGCTATGTAATGAGTACATGACTTCCTAGCTGCTTTTTCTACAAATCTTTCTTGGGCACATCTAATTGACTATCACTGCGTTCTTCGCAAAGAGACACGAGCTAACAGACCTCAATAAAAAACAGACGATCTATTCCTGGTCATGAGTGTTAAAGCGGACTTTGTACATGTACGATCATGGAAGTCATGCTAAGAAGTACGTGCAAATCGCTTCTACGTCATAGTTGGCTTTTTCATTTGTAATGCGGTTCTTAAATGTCATAGAGAGCTCAGTTTACTGATGCATTCACTTTTGACAGATTCTAAAACTCTTCTTTGACCTTCCTTGTATTGTTTCGCTAGCAGAACATCCCAATCTGAAGGATCTGTTTCTTCTGTATCCTCCCTGTAACACGAAGGCAAACAACAATACAAGTCAATCAGTAAAAGAATAAACTAAAGTTTTTTCAGAAGGAGCTCGAAAGTGTATGATCGAAGGAAAAAGGAGTAAAAGGGCCTCAATGTCCTCAAATGATTCGGTTTTTTCGACTACCATGAACAGTTTTTCTACTGAAATTTAGATTGAGACTCTGCTTAATGTTGTTCAGTGTTAATCACATCTGATTGAAAACTGAACAGTGATGTAAAATTTGAAAGATATTCTATACGTAGATACTTATAGAAATTGAAACGGTATAGTAACACTCACGGAGATGAGTCATCCTGTTGCTCCAATGGCTCCAGGAGAGAATCAAAAGTTGATAATAAGGATTCGTATACATCTCTCTCATTCCTTTCGCTAATCTGCATATGTAACTGTAGTTGTTAATATTTGCTTGTCAAAGCATGAGGACCAAAGACGATGTGACGATGATGATGATGATAATAACAAACCGGGAACAAGTAGAGGAAGTACGATGGGATAAAGAGGAGGGAGAAGACAGAGGAATACATGAGAATGAAGGGGACCTTTCTTGAAGTAAGATTTCTGCTTATCAACATTGCCAACGTATTTCTACGAGATTGTTCCAGAAGTCCATTATTTCGTCGTGTTTCCAGTAGGATACTTGGATTGCTCATCAAATTAAGAGGTAACTCTTACCATCACAGTCCTAGGATCTGCTTTGAAAGAAGCAATCTCATCCTCCTCCATACAGGCTACTCGCAAAGCTGCCACCAGTTGTGTGGGCAGCGGATGGAATCCCCTAACCATGTGATAGGATAAAACATCATACTTCTCGATCAATTCAACCTGCTCTGGAATCTCATTGGGCAAGTCCAGATCTGCACGTTCAGCAGATTTCGTTAGATACGTATTGTCATCACTAAGAATAACAAGAGCTCCTTCGCGAACCCATTCTACTGTATCTACTATGCTGTCAACGCAGTACCGTTTGTAATATAACCAGTAGTCACATGTTACCAACCCACGATGGGCCTGGAGCATGACAGGAGGGTGTACTCACCAATTGGTATGATATCATAAGGGTTGTCTTTCACGAGAAATCCGTAAAAGGTAAGAAGCTCAGAATTCGGAAGGGACCCGTAACTCAAAAAGCACTGCTCCCCAGCCTTGCACTGCCGCAGAGCAAAGAGTTGTAAAGTGTTGTTGCTTTCGTTGATTCTGCTAAAATGGGTAACATGTGGAGAAATCTGAAGAGAGAACAGATTCCTGTGGTTAAAATGAGACAACATATACACCAGTACAACGATATATCGTCATCAACAAGGAGCAAATAATGTGCGTTCGCAGTAGGATGCAGACAAAAAGCAGTTGTAAGAATGAGAAAAGGCGAATGGGCAGAGGAAGATTTCTACCGAGTGATTAAGGAGGCTTGCCACAGGTACCAAACAAGTCTGAATAGTTCCTCTTGGAAATTTCACTTTGATCCCATACGAGTACCAGAGCTGACAAGCCCAGAGGAAGCACTCCCAGGTAAAATATTTCTCCGGAAATATTGTGGGATATTTGTCACTCAGGGCAGGAAACAAAGAGTCGTACTGATTGTGTATATGCTGCAAGGAACAGTTTAGAGATTAGTTGTGCCATATTGGACGATTCGTAAACTAATGGCGAAGGTCATCTGATTTCCAACAGCCTTGTCCATTAGATTAGACGAAGTATTTGAGGCCGCCCTTCGTGACTGTCGCTGCACACAAATGAGATTAGACCTTCCCATGATGGGCTTACAAGCGGCCGTGAAGAAATCAAAACTAGCTAGCTGAGCCAAACTTGTGCAGTTTTGTAAGCATACATTTTTCTTCAATAAGCACAAGAATAAAGTACTAACGTTGAAATTAAGTACAGTAAAAACTTCAGCCTAACTGGTCCCTTGCATGCACTGTCGCATAAAGTCTTGACCACCAACCTCCCGGGCTTGAATGATTTCGTCAGCAACAAGGGTACCCTCCAGTTCTTTCAGACCACCAATTCCAAATCCCAGTCCTGCACAGGAACCGGCGCCAAATGAGGCCTTTACTTTCCAAACAAAATCAAGTATGGTTTGAACTGACCCTGATATAACATGCTCAATCCAAAAGTCGCCAATTGCTAGTTTTGCACTCGAAACCTCCCGGACCACCTTTTTAAAACAAGTGAGAAACTATGCATCAAGGAGCAGTGAATACCTGTGTGAAAAGTCTCCGGGAGTGCGGCAAAATAAGGAGCATACTTTGACTTTTCGTCATGTCTTTCTCTCATGCTCCAAAGCAAGACCATTGTTTCTCCGGTCAATTCTGGAGTCTCCTTCAAAGCAGGACCCTGAAGTTTGTGTATTGGGAGAAGAGGTCAGAAAATACTTCTTCTAAATAATCGACTGTAATTGAGGACTGTTGACCTCTTAACAAGCTCCATTAAATATCTTTTTGAAGAGAATTGTGTTGCAAGGAGCACGTCCCTGTATATATATTGTAGTAGTACAGGGCATATTCTGTAATGGGAATGGTATGAAGTAGGATCAATACCATATCAGACTCCATGGCTACGTCCTCACTTATAAGCGCATCCTGAGGAATCTCTATGACAAGATCACCCGTTTGTAGATTTGTCGACGCGGCGCCACCTCTTCCAAATCCTTCAAACTCTGCGCTCCAAATCATATCATAAAAATGATATTGAGATTATTTTCAAGGTCAGGCCCAGCTCATACCCAACCTTCATATCGTCAACAGTCTCTAATGAGCCTTGCAGACTGAAAATGGCCTCACATAATGAGTAAACAGAGTTTTGAGGGAGAAATTTCACCAGCAGCATATATCATGCTCTTGATGCCCTGCTCAGCTGCCCAAGTCGAAAGCCGTGCATTTATCTCGCTCACATTCTTGCTAGGAGCCGTGCTATCACTTTTCAAACCATTGAGACGTTCCAAAACCAGCTTGTGAAGGTTAAATAGTGGACTTTCAGGTTCCGCAGCCACAGTCATAAGAAGGCCCCGGACGTTCAGCTCAAGAGCGTGCAAAGCTTCTATCTCGTTACGTGGACTAAATGGACCTTTGTCATCATCCTCCACGAAGTACCACTCCGTCTGCACATGTAGCTCTACAATCAGCTCAACTCTGAAATGAGCCGTATGTATCCGAAGTCTAGATAAACTCAAGATTCGAATGATGTGAGGAAGCCATGCAGTTAGCTCAAAGACTACAATGTAAGAGACGGTCATCCGTCGTTTGGGATAAATGAAAAACACAATAGGATTGAAGTCTCACTTCTGTCAACTGTAGGATACGCGCCGCTTCAATCAATCTCTCCACCCACTTTTCACCTATTTGTTGACCTTTGAGTTCTTTGAGGTCGTAAGACAAAGACAGACTACGTTTCGCCAGAAGAGCCTGCAAGGTCGGAGCTCAAAATCGTGAAGAAATTGATATGAAGTCCATGCACTGTGAATGTATACTTCGCACTTTCGCAAACTAGTGACAATGAAAAGTATACGCCATCGACTTACAAATTACGTCTGTTAACCATATAGAATATCCCAGCTCACAAAAAGGACGCCTACGCTACATCGAGAGGCCGGCCTCGGAACACAATCCAGACGCTGTGCAGTTGTACCATGCCAGCCTACAGCTAGGTCAATGGTGAACACGTACCAGCTTCTTGTCATGCATGACATCATGGGGAGCTGGGGGAGGAAGCTTGATAAGTAGCTCATCCTTTAGCTGCGGGAGTAGAAAAGGAAGCCACGCGTTAGCAATGGCTACGATGTACGTTACGATGAAAAATTCCGTCTTCAAACTGTTCCAGAGCACTGAACACGCTTGTCTAGTGCATGCGATTTGAGGATAGTCCACGCAAGATTGATCGATGACGAGCAGGGCCGGGAAATTCCGCGGCCAGTTGACAATCCCCACCACAAAAATTGAAGAGCCTTGAACCCTAGATCGGGCTCGGACTCATTCACATGAGCTACATCTGCCATTCGGCATATACAGCAGTGCCTTGCAGACCACAGCGCACATACAAATCCGCGAGAACCGATTCCACCAAACGATTCCCAACGACAGTTTGATCGCGATGCATCTGCGAAAAGATAATCTTCCAACGCTAATTCACTTTCACGATTGCCTGGATTCTGATCAGGACAAATCCTTACCACTCGAAAAGTATCTTGACGTGACATTCGATGAAGGAAACTACCTTGACGCGTTAGGCGATCCATTGGGAGCTCAAAAACCAGGGAAGAAAGCGGAGGAAGGGAGCAGGGAGAGAGGAGAAGCGAAGAGCAGAGCTGAGCACAGCATCAATTCGTTATCGACAGCGGTGCTGTAAGAGGAGGACGAAGAGCAGCGAATTGCCGTCAGCGCGACGGATGACCAGTCAGTTGATCAGGCACTCGCTCGACTGCATAGAATGTACACGCCCGAAGCCTTGGATGTGACAGTCGAATCAAGGGGTCTAAAAAGAGAAGCAGCGAAGAAAGCGAACGTCGAGCATGTTGTCCCCCACTGTTCGAATGCTCATGTACCACAGCGCCAGTGCAGTCGGCCTAAACCAGGACCTTCAACCACACTGTCGCCTAGCGAAACCGGGTTCACTTTTATATTCTCTCGCCCCTATAATCGGAATGCGCATGTCTCCCGACTGCAAAAGCGGCACGCAACGCGCAGCCGCTGTTGACCCTGCCGATCATTGTCCCTCGAAACGGAGGTCTCGGTGCAAGCCAACCCAAGAGGGCAAGACAAGGCCACTCCCTCAGCCTCAGCCGTCCCCAAACCTACACTCTCTGCCCACTCCACTCCAGCTGCGGTCCCGTCGGCGTCACCCCGGCATCAAAAGCCGTCGCAGAGTCGGTGCAATCGCAGCGGGGTGCGCTTTTCGCTTCGGCAGTCGCCTCAATTGGGGCACGAACTCGCGATATAAAACGGGATGGATAGGCCCAACGACTTCCACAACATCGCCCGGGTGAGGGTTTCGTGCCCCGGTCAGAGTTCCTTCTTCGTGCCTACCATCTCTCCCTGTGGAATCCACATCTCCAGGAGGCGAGGAAGTGACGAAAGAAAATCTGGACTGCAACACGAGGAGGGAGAGAGAGAGTCTTGCTTTCACGTGACTCCTCTCCGTACACAGCGGTACAGATAAGTGTGAAAGCGAGTCATGCACGCAATTGTGCTACGAGACATTAGCTTGGAGATGCAGGAAAATTGTGCAGGCTCTGGCACCTTCCTATTATGTCTCTTCATTCCGGGGAGGTTGAACTCGTGGTATGGCAGCTTGCGGCAGTTTGTTCGTGTCTTTTGACAGCGTCAAGATGTAGGCTCTGGATCTCGAAATTGCGGTGACTCGGTCGGTAGCTTCACAGAAACTACTGCGAGCCGAGCCTGGAATCTTGAGCTTCAAATTTAGCCCCACTCGCCTGGATATGGTTAACCCGGCCATCCTCATGACTTGCTTCGTCGTCAGCCGTCACTGATCGAACTTGTCAACGAGAAACGGTATTTTCCAACATCCCGATCGTAGGGGCAGAATCGTGTGCCTACTTCTGATTAAGTGGTTTCGTACTCTAACCACTGGACAAGAGAAGCTAACTCCAAGTGATCGCAGAGTTCCGCTGCGGGCTGAATTTGGATAAGATGGAGGAAATGTGCCGCATGTAGACCAACGAGACGGGAGCTCACCTGAGAAGATTCTCTGAACAGATTTTGGTCGTTGGCGCCCATGACGAATTCCGCTCTGGAAGAGTTCAATCCCCCTTCTTTGACTGAGGGCAGCAGTCACTGAGGATACCAGAGAGAGGGGATAGAGAATTTTCGGGAGAAATTTGGAACCAATCAAGAACTTAGACTCAGCTTGACGTGCAGGTCGACATGGTAGATCTAGATTAACTTCAGAATCACTTCTCCGTCAGGGGCAGATGTATTTTCCTCGCTCTAGGAATTCTCCATTTCTAGAACTATTTGAAGTGGCTGACTCTTCCTTCCACTTGATTCTGCCAAACGCTCCATAGAAAAATTGTCTGCGCGTTTCCCGCCACCGCCGGAAACCCGCAACTGCTGGTGGCCGATCAGGAAACTGCCGCGACCACGGGCCAAATCTGACCAAAAGGCGATTAGAAGTCCCGAATTCTAACGAGGAAATTACGTCAAAATCGAGGCTCAAATTTGTCCAATGGCACGCTTCCGAAGCTTGCGATCCAAACGTCTTTATGATGGCGTGGACACTTCTAAAGCGAGCCACCTCAGCTCGGTATCCTCGCTGGCCACAACCCCCTTCCGGCCGACAACATCACGGAGCCACGGTGGACAAGACCCAATGGCCAAATCTGCTCAGACGCGGTGACTCAGCCCGATTCGAAATGTTCGAACAACAACATAATTCCCCTCGTAGCCTTGAATGAGCCGCGTGTTCTTGTAGCGCGCAGCGCTCGTGAACTTACTTACCTTCGAAACAAGAGCCCCTAATAGGACAAGCGTCCGCGTGAAGACGAGTACGTAACGGAAGTGGAGCGGAGCGCGCCTGCAGAGCGACGCTTCAGCAGCCTCACCGGCCCTGGTTCCACGCCTGGATGGATGGACGGACGGACGCTCGGGCGAACTCTGCGTCGTCCGTCGAGCGCATGCGATGAGAAGGAGGCCTCCCGACAGTTAAGGACATGGTCGAGTCCGACCAAGCGGCCGGAGAGGATTTCCGATTGAGAAACCATTTGATTCGAGCAGAAGCCTAATCCGATGATTTGGCGCACGCGAATTTCTTTCCGAGGTCGGCTGGGGCGTCGCGGTGCGATGTGGCAGCCGGTAACGCAATTCCGTGCCGCGGGCGGGGCAGCACGGGGATCCGAGCTTTGGAATGTGGCCGTCATAGACCTAAGCGGCATTCATCGCCGCGACGAGTGCTCTCTCTCTCCCCCCTGGACGAAGGTGATGGATTTTTGCGCCTCGATTTCGGAAGCGGTTCTCGACGGGCGGCTGCGGATTTGGGATATGCGTGGCAGTGCGTGAAGAGTGGAGGAGCCCTTTAGGTTCTGAATTTATCTCGAGTTTGCTCCTCCCCATGCCTCGCCATGATTCCTCTCAACATTGCACTCGTTGCAGAGCGCACCTCGGACATTCTGCAGAGCTACTTCGATCAGGCCCGATGCGCGGAAGAGCACCGAGCGCAGGAGACGAGGGCGGCGATCGTGATTCAAGCTGCCTGGCGAAGGAAGTCAGTGAGGCTTATACTGAAATACTGGAGTCGCCACGCTACTGTCATCCAGCGCTGGTATCGTGGCCACTTGGACCGGATAAGAGCACTGGACATTCGTCGGAAGAAGGATAAAATGCTGCGCCTCGAGTATTTTGGCAAGAGAGCTGTTTTGATTCAACGCATCTATCGAGGGTTTAGGAGTAGGAAATACGTCCATGACTTCTACAAAAGACGAGCATGGATCGACGGTGCTGTGCAGTCAGGCCAGAGTCTGAGAGCTCGTATGACGCAATGGCAAGAACGTCAAATGAGACAACAGCAGGCCGATGCAGAAAAGAGCGTTCAAAGCGTAATCGACGACTTCATCGCCACCAGCCACTACCGAGTGGGCACAGAGGTGCGCAAGGGAGCATTCTACTCGCCGCTCATTGCCATCTTCGGCAAAGGTCGAAGCTATTTGGAGGAGCACATTAAAGATGCTCGGCGCAGGCAGATCACAGGCCTGGAGCTTTGGAAACTCAAGGGCTACGACGAGTACGGCATTCCCATCAAAGTGGCCAACAACAAATTCTTCATCAAACAGAGCAAAGTGCCGCACTCGAGGCTGAGCATGGACACGCGACGCCGCGTGGAGGAAGCGGCTCTGCTGTCGTCCGTGATGGGCACGTACATAACCCACGTAGGAGTCGGGCCATACATCAGCAAGGTGGATCTCATAAACCAAGCGATCCGCGAGAAAGAGAGGCACAATCCGCACGAGAAAGACTTCAAGAATTACGGCCTGCACGACCGGACCGACTTCAACCATCTGCCCTCGCCATCGATCCGCCAGCAGTCGGAGTGGGGCCAGACGGAGCGCATGCGTAAGGAGGAGGTGAAGAGGCTCGAGGCTCAGTTTCCGCGCATGGTCGAGGAGCCCTTCACGCTGCGGCTGCCGTCGGGCAAAGTGTTCGACCTGCACAACAACCTGTTCGCCAAGGTCTTCCCCAAGCGCCACCACCACACTCACTTCCCCCACGGCTACGGCGACTTCGACCACGGCCTCGGCTCGTCCATCAACAAGGGCGCGGCGCCGGCCAGGCCCAGCATGAAAGTCGACCGGCGTCACAGTCGCCGCCCCAGCCACGTCAGCTGATGACGTTGCAGAATCCTGCCACATCATCTGCCAGATCGGATGAACGAGCCATCTCCTCATCGGAAGGCGAGTTGGCAGAGAAACGAAATCTTAATGCGCTTTGGACTATAATTGGACAAGTGATCGGATTAGAGGCTAGCAAGACTAGCAAGGGGAAACGAAGTCGGCCTTACAACCTTCGGTGAGCCAAACTAAATCGCAATATTTTCTTTCCATAAACATGAGAATCCTAAATAAACTATCTAGAGAAATGAACTTAACCCAATTTTTTAAACATCCTGATTTCAAAAATGAAGATGAAAAGAGTCCAAGTGGATGAAAAAATAAAATAAAAACAAGACCTGTTCAGATTGGAGAAATGGAAAAACGGACAAAGAATACTCTCTCACAAGTGCTACATTGAGAAATAGTTTACAATATAAATATGCAATGTTTGAGACACCTTTAAAAATGGCATTTAAAAAATCAAAGTCGAAAATAAATTGCGGTGGTAGGTGATCATTATTTGTGAATTTGCTATGATATTTTTGAAAACTCAGTACACATCAATCAATGATACACAGATTTAATTTTTTATACTTAATTAACCTCAGCTAGTGCTACGTAAAGTATGATCCAAAGTATATTCAAAAACTCAGGAATACATGGAGCATAAGAAATTAGATAACAGAAATTTCTCCGCTTTGCCTTTTTCCCATGGTGATGCTATTGGTAACTAGTGGTTCTAAATCTTACGGTCTCATCCATGCAAAATTTGACACTATAGTTTCATAATTTTTGCTATATTACTTGGTGTCTAACTTTCATGATAAATTATAAATTTGGGACTTGACATAGACAGCTATGTCAAAGACTCCACATCAAATTAACCACAGAGGTATAAGCTGATCATAACTACCATGATTTCATGTCTAAAGAAAATACGGTGATTTTTAAAGAGGGCAATATTACTGCACTTCCGCTAGTTATATATATGAAAATTATGTGATCCGGGAGTTGCATGTTTCATAACCCAATATATTATAGGTTGTTAATATTTGCAGAAATATATGTGTAACAAGGAGCGAATTGCCATAGAATGGCTAGAATAAAATAGAAAAAATAAAGAAGCTTCATAAGTCTAGGCAAATGTGAAAACGCTCGGCCCATGGATGCCGTGCATTGTAATGGGCCGTTATAGCGCCATGGCCAGCCTCTCTAAGTACGGAAATTTGTGTCATAGATTCCGTATTTTGCTGCCATGAACATACGAATTGTAATATATATATATATATATATATATTAATTATATTGTATATTTTATATTTTTGAACTAAACGAGTTTAAGCTCTTAAACATGTATTTTGGCTGAAACGGAGTCTGCAATATTATTTAACTGCAATTTTGATCATTTGCTGTGTTCTTGAACTCGAATGGAATGTACTTTAAACCGCTGCAAAACGTCCATGCAAAGCTGGAAACAAGAAGACGTCGTTGAGCCGAAACACGTCTTAGAGTATGGAATCTTCATTGCATCTGGTGATACTCAGTCCTTTGAAATCGTTGTTGTTCGTTTTCGATTCTGTATATGTTTCGGATGTGAAGTATACACTAAAAAATTGCAGCATCTTCACATCAATCACCAAGTCAGATGGGGGAATATCAAAAGCAATCAAACATGCCGAAACCATCAAAGCTACACAGATAAGTTAACCCAAGCAAGTTGCAACATTTTGAATCTTGTTTACCTCAGGAACTTAGAGCATTGAAAAGGCGGTATGTTATTCAAATAATTTTGAATTATCAAGATCTTTTGACAGTTTCTTGACATCAAACGCAAAGTGAGCAAATAGTGGAATAACATAAACAATTTTTGGTCGCCATGCACCTTGAACAACCTAATCGCAATGCCATAAACAGTCTTACAAAACAATTTCACTTCGGTGAGGCTTGGAGTTAAGTACACGCACTCATTAAGTACACGTTTCCTCAACCTAGCCTCACCATTTCCAAACATATTGACTCCGTCTGGAAGCGACTATTTAATGCTGAAATGGAAAAAGTATCCTATTAGATAAAAATTAACACCAATATCCCTTGAAGGAATACTGTACTGCCTTGCTTTCAAACTCGAAAGTTGTTGAAGAAAATATAAGAAATTTGTACTAAACTCTATATATTTCGTATTTCCATAATCCTTATTTTGTAGTAATACGGAACATACGGAAGGTTCGCTATATCGAGAGGCCTGGCCATGGCACTTCCCATTGCCATACAAAGTGCTTGCCTCTGGTCAGTTTTGTCACGCCCTTTGCACGCAAAATGGATTCCTTCGCTGCATGCGTAACGATCGAGTACAGAGATCAATATGGCCATATGCGAATGCAAAGCGCGAGAACACTTGTGTGTTCAGCGAACGCTCGGGAATTTGATACTTTCGGATGTTGAAGAATTCTCCGTTCTGTCTTCAGGGGTTTAAGGGCGGGTTCGGATTCTTCGTTCCCGAAACTGCCACTCCGAACCTTTCCGAGAGGACTCACTCTTTTCATCCATTATGGATTCAGGACAATCAGGGGTGTCCCCTTCCTGCGGACCAAATTTGAGAAGGCAGTTTGGTGAAATATGATTTTGTAGTTCAAACATTCGCAGGGCTTTTGCGGCGTCTCGTGAATATGAACTGATCGTTGCAGATTGTATCCGTTTCGAATCTGCCAGAATTACATCATTGTCTGTAATTTTTCACCATTCACAATGTATAGCCTCTTCAATTGCGCGCAGTATGTAAGTTTTAATCCATTACGCAGCCGGGGAAATACTTTGCCAATCGGTAGGGGTCATGTGGTATTCCGCGAGGTTCAAGCTTTACCAGTTACGACATTCTGGACGCAGCCTCCGATTGTTAGTTTGCGAGCACCTCCGTCGACAAATAATGTGGATACTCGAGAATGGAAATCATCAGCGAGTTCGAAGACTGCAATTCAGTTACCTTTCCTTACCACGCATCCCAATGGTAAAGCTTGGGAACCCTCGAAGGGATCCTCTGCACAATGGTGAGTCCTGCAATATAAGCTCGCACTACCGCTTCCTCCTTATATTCACTATTTCTTCTCACCCGGGGTTGACGGAGCTCCGTTCTGGTAGTACCAGCAGTTGCTGGGAAGGATGCTGTAACTTTTCTGGTCTGTTTGCGATTAATTGTGGGTGCGAATCCAGGTCTGTGGAGTACAGTCGCCTACTACCGTGCCCTCAGGACCAATTACCTCCGCGTGTTGAACAAATGGTCGTCATGGAGAGCGGAAATGTGGTCGATCTCGTAAGCAGGGCTCTCTGTCTTCCCCCAATGTGAGTGGTACAGATCTTTGTTGCTGTAGCGTGCCTAAACTATGAACACCTCCAAGATTTTTCTCAATCTTGCAGCCCTCTGATAGTTGCTTACCTCAATTGAACTATGGACCTTACATGCAGAAAAGCCACTTACTATCTCGAGAAAAGTCACTTATCGTCTAAGTTGTTTCGGAGATTTTGTAGGTATGTGGAAGATTTGGTAGAGTTCGGAGCAGTTCATTATGCTCTTCTCTGTCCATCTCCTCCTCCAACTGCCACAACCGAGCAGCTTGAAGTGTACAAACAGTTTTCTTTCCTACAGGATCACAAGGCACGTCCCTCATGTAAAGGGAAGACGGCTAGAGAAGCTCAGAAAACCTACCGAGTGATCAGAAAAGACTTGTATCTGGAAGCTGGATCATACTTACGAGTCCATGTCCATCCAAAACGATTCCCCAGGTATTAGTTACTTCCAATTTTCATTCAAACTCAGTCAATGTTGGTCTCTTTGCTTTCACAAAAGTGCGTAAGAACGACGAATGATTGAACTAAATGAGGGATGTAAGTGATTCTGGAGTTATATATCTTTATGATGTTCGCCATTGCTCTGCTGTTACTCTCTAACCAGGCTTTCATGTGTCAGATGCTATGACACGAACTGGAGGCAGAAAATTCTTTTTCAAACCGAGTCATTCTTAGTCCTAGATAAACCAGCCGGTGTTTCGGTAAGATTCTTACTTTATTCGTGTGAAGATTTTTATCCAAACAGGATCGAGAAATGCTATGAGTACGTGAAATGAGATGTGGCCGGAAAATTGTTTCAAAAAAAATGGTCTAGTTTGTCATGAAAAAGACACTGAAATCTCAGGACTATCGCAGATCAACAGCCACAGTAGCTTTTTACTTCAGAAACCATCTATGTTGATTCCATGCGTAATATTGCCAACGCCTATACTGGCAGAAGAGGTAGCTGCTCCTACTGAGTTCTGACGATGTTATGCCTTTCACGTTCATAGGTCGGTGGTACAGTCGATAATATAGAGGAAACGTCTGCAATGTTTGTTGCTCGAGCCATAGGACTGGAAAGACCCCTTTGCATTACACATCAGATCGACAATGGTACTGAGGGATGGTAAGTAGGATCTGAAATGAATGTAATAATGTCCATCATGTCAGTGACTCGTGCCGGCTTGTAAAGGTGATCCCAAAACCCTTCCTTATTATGTAGATGTGGAGAATTGTCAATAGAGACGCACTAAGCATCCAAATGTTGTGTTGGCAGTGTGGTTTTAGCGAAAACAGAGGAATTTTCTTCAAAATTCCATGAGCTGATGCGGGTAGGTTTGGAGTCGCGGTTCTCAAGTCCGTACACCAACTTACAAATTAATGCGGACCTTCTCTTCTACTGGAGCTTATCAGAACTTGATAAAGTTAAAGTCATAAAAATGCTCCTTTGTTGATTTAAGAAAGCGGTGGAGCTGACAAGATGCTGGTCTTGCTCACAGAGTAAGAAAATGAAGAAAGTATATCGTGCCCTCACAGTAGGACCAGTACCTGTCGGTAGGATGATACATTACATGCGTCCCGACCGCCATTCCCCCAGATTGCTGAGTTTAGGTAACTTGACTTTCGCTTTCGTGTGCAGAATTTTCGTCAAGAATTGTTTTATTCTTGTATGAGGAAGTGTTATCAGATTCTAAAAATTAGTTTTCGCTTTTGCTTCACTTTCAGCCTTACTAGCCTCACATAATATCTGTTGGCAGGAAGTCACGAGAAGTGGCAACGTTGTGAAATGGAAGTCATAAGCTGCAAACAAGTTCCTTGGCCCAGTCCTTCCACAATGAAGAAGTATGGTGTAAAGAGCTGCGGCTGGAAGGAGCAGCCTTATGCTTATGAAATAACCTTGGAGCTTCTAACTGGTCGTACTCACCAGGTAAGTAGACCAGATGCAAAATCGTTCACATATTGATCCTGTAGTACGTAAAGTCTAGCATACTCCTTGATATCGGAAAAGCGCCTTATCAAAAGCCTCTGGGAGCAATTTGGGCAACTCCCTTCTTGTACTTTTGCGCTCCATTTTATTCTTTGGAGCGAGTGTACTTACAAAATGACTATTCATGGATATGTTGGCATATCAAGCAACTAATATTCACCCAGTCATCTCGATATTGTTAATCTTGATTTGAATTTGTTTCATCACCGCAGGTTCGACTACAATGTGCAGCAGTTGGTTCTCCTTTGCTAGGAGACTCGATGTACATTCCTGCAGTTATAGCGCGTCTCAACAGTCCAGATATAGATCCTTGCCTCAGCGTACTGGAAGTGGAAGATGAAAGATCATGGATTGGTAACATCAAGGATAGAAGAGACGGTGGACCCATGGAAAGATGGCTTGCTGCCCATGGACGTGAGCCTGAGTGTGCAATTGGATTGCAAGCGTTTCAGTTGTGTTGGGATGATGATGGACATATTTTTGAGTTCGAAGCAGGGTCACCTTGGTGGAGTATTCCATGAATGACATCTCGACATCTCGACATGAAGATTGCATGCTTTTCTTATGTCTCGTATAGAAGCAGTTATTCGTCTCATTCATCTCTCCAGGGTATTTTGCACCTGACAATTGCATGCTGATCAATGCTTTCTTCTCCATCCGAGCAGTTTGTCGCCTGGCACAGGCCACAGGGAATTTCTTACTTATATGGCTTTGGTCTCTGCATGTTTACTTTGGCGTCATTCATAAGTTTCCAACTCAATCTAAGGTACTAATTCCGGGATCTTTGGAGGTACCGTTTGCACTCCGCCCTCTGCCTCATTGTCCATCCTCATATTCCAGCTCTTGGTATGAGACAGTACACTCGAGATGCATGTAATATAAATTAGCTAGTGGACTTGATTTGTTATTTTTGTTCCTATTTATATGTCACGTTTGAAATTCATGTTGTGTGTTCACAAGTCACAACATGTTGTGACTTGTGAACACACACGGTGGCCAATGGGCGGCGGAGGAGTATTCAATGCAGTTAACATATCAACTGATTTGAGCGTTATAAGATGTGGATTGCACTCACGGGACAGACGAGGTGGTATTCTAACACCGAAACTCTCGATATCATCTGATGGAATCCTTTTTACATCTATATTTGGTGCTACAACGAGATGAACTGTAGTTGTTCAACTGTTTGCGTACGGCACAACACATTGGGTTGTAATGAACCGCATGAAGAGATTCGAAGTCTAAAGAAGAGAAGTGGAGTGAGAAGACGAAAATAGCTGGCCCTTGACATCAGAGAAAGTTGAAGTCGATTGTCAGCGAAGAGGAATCCTTGGTTGTGTTTACTTGGATATCGTGTTTGCGAACCGAGACCTTGCACAATCGAGAATTCAATTAAAGTGCCATTTCAAACAAAACGTAGTTTTTGTTTCTTGGTGTTCAAAAATTTGAAAATGACAAGGAGTTTCTCGAGATTGCAGAGCAAATCCTTCAATCCTTCAACCAGACGAGGTGCAACCACCTCCTGACCCGTGCCAATCACAAGCGTTTGAAATTGTGAATATCCCCACGATGGGAGTGACTCAATTATATACTGCTTCACTTCACCCTTCTTTAACAGACGAGAACACCGATGGGTACGAAAATGTCGAAAATGGCTTCGAAAATGGCTAAACTAGATTCCCTACGAAGTGAATAAAGTAACGAGTAGTATCTGGGAAAATCATGAACGAGGATCCTAAACTTGAATATCGAGCAGAGATGCACTTGCATCTGCAAAAAGTCATCTTTACGAAGCCATTTGCAAACTAGTTGGTGATCATCACTCCGTGGTAGGGTATTGCTGTCAAAAAAGTCGCATCTTGCATAGTTTAACTTTCAGTTGCACTGTCTTTTTAGTTCTTATCACTTGTGGTTGAGATTACTGTGAAGTAATATTGGTTTTGACTGATGTAAACTGCGAGTTGACCCGAGTCTTAGATCGGAAGACCACAAACTTCCGTTCTGTCGTATAATGACATCATTCTTCATTTCACTCGCTGTGCCAGGAAACCAGCATTCGTACCAGCAGTATTGTATTGCTTTCGTGTTATTGCGAATCCCCAGGTCTCTGGAAACTTCTGTGATCAAGCTTTTCTGTGGGAGAGAGGGCTTCTGGTGACCTCGAGGCTCCTGAGCGGACTTGGTCAGAGCAGCAGCAGCAGCAGCAGCAGCGGAGCACTGCCACCATCTGTTGGAGCTTTGTTCAGCTGGTTCATTTTTCTCTCTGCGTATGTATCTGGAGACTGATCAGTTTGTAGATCTGGATGGTCTACTGAGCACTCGTTGCCGGCTTTAGAGGTAGATCGGATGCGCAGATGTTCGCAGTAGTTTCGAAGGAGAAAAAACTCTCCTCCAGTCTGGTCAATTTGGTTCTACTGTGAGAGTTGAATCCATATGTTGCTGGCTTTTGATGTAAGACGGTGTTGTTTTTGAGCTTCTTTCGTTTACACCGAGTTGAAACTGTGCCCTCATTTTTCCAGGGTTTCGATCGTCAGCGAACAACATGGGCAGTCAAGTGGGCGAAATCAGCTCGCTGGAATTGAGCAAGTACGACGGGAGCGACGCCGAGAAGCCGCTCCTGGTCGCTATCAGAGGGACGATTTATGATGTCTCAAGCGCCCGAGATTTCTACGGGCCTGGTAAACCATATGCAGTCTTTGCAGGGAAAGATGCGACGAGAGCTCTGGCCAAAATGTCCACCAAAGCCGAGGATGTGAGCCCTTCTTTGGAGGGATTAACGGAGAAGGAGATTGGTGTCCTCGACAACTGGGAGAAGAAGTTTGTTTCCAAGTATCCAGTGGTGGGCACTGTGGTTTGAGCGGACATGAGCGCATGGTCGCTAATTCCACGATCTGTGGAGAGGAAGCAATAATATTCAGCTGTCTGTAAGATAGGTCAAGCCTCTACGCCGATGTGGAGCTGACAGTGAGCATTCCTCACCTGACATCAACAGTTCGCACCTTCCAAAATTCTGCACGTACATATCTGTTTCCCGCTTCCATTAATTATCAGTAGTTATCATCTCTCGGCACTTCATCCAGTAAGATTCTCGAGGCCGAAGTGCTGAACACTTGAACTTAATCTAGGGCCGCCGAAAACTGTCAATATTCTCACTGTTCGGCTTTAGACCCATCTTGTGCTATACAGAAGACTGCAGCACGTAATCTGTAAAGATTATCACTTCAATAAAAGCAACTTCTCACGGAATCCACCAGCAAAGTGATCTGCTCCTAGAACGTACTATTTCTGGGTTCGTCGATCAGCAAATATACATACGGATGAAACACGAGGTTTTGCTTTCATTGTGTAGGCATGAAATTTACAGCAAAGCACCTCTATTACGGACTACGAAAAAATCAGTAGCGCTTAGATTCCGTCGTCATGTGGTCAAACCGTGGCTGCGTGGTGCTCAACATCAAGTTTGAGAATGTGAACTTAAGCAGTTTCGTTTTGAGCAATATCTCTTTTGAAGCTTTCACTAGGGTGCAAGTACCTGTTCAATTTTTACCAGCCAGACAGGCACCTTCCTTTACAGGCCGTCGCTTCCTGACAGCTTTGGAGATTCTGAGTTTCTTCCTGTGAAGTTCAGACACATTGACACCGACAACAGACAGTTTATAAACAAGTTAGGAATGGTTTGATGCAGAATTGGATAGCGACATATGCTTCTCCTCTCACTCTTCTAAACTACATGCAGAAGTCAGTGGATCTGTTTCCTGCCCTGATTGAACTTCCGACTTATCAACTTCTTTGACTTTTAAGAAACTTAGACCTGATTTGTGCGAGTTATGTGTCTTTTTCAAACAATCTTGCATGTGAAAATGCCTTGAAGGGGTCCAATTTATGCATTTGAAGGTGCGGGCACACCTTACTTGTGGTGTCGACAATCTCCATCTTTCTGTAGGCGCTCTACGTGTGGGTCGCGCTCTAATTAATGCAGTAATGTTCAGAAGTCGGGCAGGAATAATTTGGCCAAGACCACGACTGCTATTCTACTTCGTATGTGGACGACCACGTTGTTATGAAAGTCTCAGCAGCTCATCAAACGCCCTCCATAAAATTTCCTCTTGACGCTGTCAAAGTGACTTTCTGTTAACTTTTGCAAACGGAGATGCGAGCAGAGGATCCACCAGAGGATCCACCAGAGGATGTGTTCTTCAGGATCTGCACAATGGATGGTCCAACGGACTCATCGTTCTCAGTCTTCCTAAGCTGTGTATGCCAAACATGTTCTCGTATGGAACTGGTTGTCTTTACTCTTGATGCGGTTGATGATGACTGGTGCTGCTTCATAGTGGATACTTCCGGACCCTGTGCAGCAGAGGGTCAACTTTCGATAAGAAACCGTAGGACGTAGAAGAGAATGTGCACAAAGTACTGTAATACTTTCCCACCCGCTTTGGTCTCTTCGCTCAGAGTAGTTTATTGGAGCATGGATGCCTCCAGTACTTCAATTCAGAATGTAGAATATTTATTTTGAATATTTAGAATGGAGTTCTGTAATATTTATAGAATATAACATTCACGAGGTCCGTATGGAACGAGACCCGTAAGGGCAATTCTGATGATTCATGTAAAAGGTGTGAGATTAACATCGTTTTCAGGAGTTTTCGAAAACTGCCTTTCGGACATGAGCGTAGATACACAACATGTTAGTGTGGCAGTCTTTCATGAGTTCGATGGTCAGATGTTCCCTCGTGGAGATGTCTCGCTCTTCCTTTGGGATGCTGCATCGAGCTTGAGCTTGACGTCCGACCTGAGAGTGCACTCTGCCGCAGAGTGCACTCTCAGGTCGAGTTTGTGAGGCAGAGTCTCTGCCTCACAAACTCACGCAGTTGTGGTTGCATAGTACATCAACAATGATACTTTTATTAGCCATTGTGTGATCCAACCGGTCCCAAAGAGTACTTCATGAATGGGCCCGGAGTTATTCACAAGGGTTTACAATAAAGATAAAAGTACATACGATCTCGTCAAGCCCAAAGGAAGATTCAACTCACCAAGTACACCCAAACTATGTAGATAAAATGTAAATGGTAAATAGATCAAGCCCTTGAGAACCAAAGGGTCAAAATGCTGAAAAACACAATACAAACAATCCAACCCCAAGAGAAAACCAAAAGAGCTCCCTAACTAGTGCCAAAGTACTAGAACGGTAACTAATAACATCCGAATTATAAGAACCTAAATCATAAGGCTCAAGCTGAAGCAAATAATAAAAATTCTCAAGAACAACTTTATGAGCCACTCTAATCTCTACATATCTAGTACAATTCAGAAATACATGCTCTTCATCCTCAACTTTCCTTTCATCACATAGCTTACATATACGTTTACTCCTATCAATGTTCAACAACTCACTTCTTCAATCCAAAGACTATGAGATCTTGTTTAATGCCTAGCAATAATTGACATAAAGAAGTAGATATCTCCGCAAGTAATTATCCTTGCTCACAATAAACAAGCATGGGATTCACATGAAGTTGATAAAACTCCATTTTAGTGTATTGTCTGCTCCAAATAATGTTAATTAATTTCTCCTTGATACGCTTGCGTAGGGCAATATGTTGCAAATCCCAATCGAATTGCGTCACATTCCACCTCAAAGACCAAGTCAACACATTTGCAAACCACCCCTTTGGACGTGTGGCACGCAAAACTTCAAGAGTAAGTCGATAAGCATCAAGATATCTCACTATTTTGACGTAAATGATAGTCAAAAATAGAGCTTAAGCCTCAAGAGTTAGACAACATGTTTCCACAAGAAGAATTGCATATGAAGTTTGGATCATCACACCCAATTCTTCTTGAAAGAAGATTTTTTGCACCCTCTCCAAACGCTCCCAATGTGTCTTCTTACAACCAAGACCCCACACTTGTGTTCCATATAAGATAACGGGAAACACTAATCTCTTGAATAAGAATTTTCTAAGACTCCAAGACACTAGCTGAGCTCCTCTACATCTATTTAGCAATGAATATAGAGCTTTGAAACCAGCTTCTATTCTCTTTTGCACACAAGGTGCCCAACTATAATCAGAGGAAGAATCAATGATTAAATATTTGTTACTCTTCACTTGTTCCAACTCTAATCCTTTGTAAAAGAAAGAAAGCTTGGATCTAGTGCTCACAAGAATGATTTTGGACTTTTCCAAATAGACCTCCATCTGATTTTGAGTACAAAAGCTAGTCAAAGTGTCAAGGTGTTTCTGTAAACTAATGACATCACGTGCTAGTAATATGACAACATATGCATACAAAAGAGCTTTGATGACAAAGCCTCCAAGTTTGACACCTTCACTGTCACAATACTCTAACCACCTTTTTATGTCATCTATGAAAATTCCAAAGAGAGTATGAGAGAGAGTACAACCTTGAATGACTCCAATGGTACTCAAAATGTTAATCGGTTTGAAAAGTGTTGATCTTGGCTTAAACAGAGTGGTATGATGTGGTCATCGCTGCTAAAAGATGATGATACTCCAATGGTTTGCATTCTTTGCCAATAAACTCACGAAGCAATGTGTCAAAAGCTTTCTGCAAATCAATAAAGGCACAAAACAAAGCTTTTCCATTATCCTTGGATTTCTCCCATAAAACAAGCAAAATCAAGATATGGTCTATAGTGTTGAATGTAGAACAACAACCAGCTTGGAACTGCGCTCTCTTCTGACAAGATTCAGCCCATGTGCTCAACTTTGACTCCATCAATTTGCCAAATAATTTGGCAAAAATACTACCCACCATGATAGTTCGATAGTTTGTCACCAAGACCTTGCTCCCAGATTTGTGAATAGGAACAATCTTCCGTAGAGATCAAGTTGAAGGAAAACCAAAGTCAGCAACATTCTCTAAAACTTTAGTATGTAAAGGCCCGATAGCATCTCATCGCCACTTGAAAAATTCAATGGAAAGACCATTCAAATTCTCACATTTACCATTTGTTAATTGTCTAAGTTGATTCATCACTTCAACTTCAGAAAATAAGCATGTGTTTGCTTCACAATGTGGCATTGATGCAATATTGGGAAAAAAATAAAGCTTTTCAGCAAAAGAAATCAAAGACTTTGGATCTAGAGTAGGTTTGGAAGATCGTACTGCCAACCGTCTCCAAAAAGATTTGGGATTCTCCAACAGCTCCTTTGTCAAGCACTCTTGCTTCCGCCTCAAAAAAGCTCATTTGTTAGACTTCATAAAGTCTTTGTAAAGTCTTGTCATAATAAGCCGATTGTGAAGATCCAAGGATTTATCAACTAATATCGCCCTTGCTTGCTTGCAATCAAAGTCAAACCATCCATTGCAAGGAAGATCTCTAGCTCTCCTCGTCTTATGTCTCAAAAAGAACTTAGAATAAGAGTTTATGAGCAATCGGTTAGTTGCAAAATAGATGTATGTGGATCAAGGCTCCAAATAGTACGAGTCAAGAGGTCTTGTAAATGTTCACTATAAAGTTGCTTCTTACTAGCATCTAAACAAAACTTGGGGAAAGTAGAAACATAGTGACATGTAGAGAGAGTTTGACTTTGACAACAAAAGAGTAAGTAAAAGAGTTGTATGATCTGATTCTGATTGAGACTCTAGAATATCAAACGTTGAGATAAATGAACTATTAGTGGTAGAGTACAAAAGATAATCTATAGTGTTAACATCAGTAGAGGAAAAACATGTATTGGAGTGAGAGTTGGGAAAGAAAGAAACACCATTGAGAACTTTCAGATTACATGTAGCTCCAAAAGTCAAGAAATGCTCAGTCAAATCATTTATAGAACAATCACAAGAGACTATAGACCACAAACTATCTCCACTTTTTTCAAAATAGGGAGAATACAATGAACTATCAAATTGTGTAAATTGAGCGGAACGTATACGGGCATTGAAGTCTCCAACAAGAAAAACTTCACCTTTGTTTTGATATTTGAGAACATCTTCTATGAGCCGATGGAATGGTTGACTTCGATTGCAAGTGCTTGTGGAGTGTATCTGCATGGATAATGGTGCAAAGTAACAACCGCCAAATAACTCTAAGATCCTCCAATCAATCCAAGATCTCAATCTGTTTCCCAATATCTTGGCTTTCCAAATGTATCATAGGAAGAAGTTCAGATCTGATGAAAGTAGCAATGACTCCAAAGCCTCTTCCTGCTCGTCGATTTCTATGGTTCCAAGTAGATCCCACCAAATGAGACCCTTGTATCTTTTCAATAGCATTACTC